GGCCCGCGCCCGCCCCGGCTGACGGGAAGGGGAGGGCAGGGGAGGTGCCTCCGCGGCCCAGCGCGGCCCAGCGCGGCGCGCGTTGCCCTGCGCGGGCTGCAGCCGAGCCTCGCGGCTGGGCTGGCTCTGAGGCGGCTCCTGGCTAAACCTCACCGGCACCAGCCCCGCGGAGACGGCTGCGGCGGGCGCCACAGGGACGCGGCCGCAGGCTCGCAGTGCAGGGCTCGCTCTCTTCTTTTTAAAGCAGGTTCCTGCCTAGGTGAAATGCATTAGCAAGATGTCTCCCTTAAAGGAGGAAGGAGTGTTTCTACTTGCTCTTGATTGTTCTCCTTTTGATTAGCTATTCTCAGGCTGCCACTAATCACGATAAAATTGCTGAGGTATCTTCATTTACTTCTGTAGTTGGAATATGGTTCTCTTGGAAAAATAGGGCCTTCTGTTCAGATTTTTACAGACTGCAAAGGCCAGAGCTTAACACTGCAGCTGCGCAGATGCCACATGCAGCCCWGTGCCCTGTGCTCTAGGTGACCCTGCGTGAGCAGGGGGGTTGGACTAGATGACCTCTGAGGTCCCCTCCAACCTTCAGCATTCTGTGATTCTGTGATTCTAAGCCCTGCACGGGTGCCTGCAATAACTGCACGCAAGCAGCAGATGCAGGGTCTACATCTAGGACTGTGGAGTGGCTCTGCTAAGCCGAGGCTGAGCCCTGGTCCTCAGTTCAACYGTCCTCGTGGTTCGCAGTAAGCCGGGTCCTGGGCAATCACCCTCCCCTTCTGGTTCACGGGAAAAGAGCAGCAGCCTGYGTCCCGCTGAACTGCCAGCTCCAATCACAAATATGAACCCTTCCTCATGTAGCCTTTGACTTTGGAATGTAGTTCCTGCTTATTTTAGTAAAGAAAAGCTTTTTTTAGACATGTATGCACATGCTTTGAAATAGKTTCAGTTTGAAGGGGTTTGCAGTAGCTCCACTGTAAGTGCAGTAATCTTTGGGGAAAAAGAAARCATTACAGATGGATCAGACCTGCAGTTAAAAGATCAGAAATTTGATTGTGGACACACTATTGCTCTCTCAATCATCCAAATGGGCAAAAGAGCCGGGGGGGTGTGGGGGGRAAGGCAGCTGTATTAGCACCATCCTTCCTTTGGTATCAAGAGACTTCCAAGTTTCCAACGCGGGAATTTGAGCCTATTTTTGAGTTGAACCACACTTCCCTCAAGCCAGTTCTAGAAAGCTCTACAGTGACACTGCTCTAGCAGAGCTGCTTCATCTCCACAACCATGAAGAGAAACCACGAAGCACAGCCAAAAGCTTTGTCAGGAACTGAATTCTATGAAGAGCAGGCACGCTTACTTACATTCAGTGTCACGTAAAGGAGGCTCTAGTGGAAAACAAACAAAGTGCAAACAACTGGTCATACAAAAGCATTTCCAGATAAACAACATTACAGTCTAGGAATCGGGTAAATTGTAGGTGTTTTGCGTAGTTTCCACTCACATAATATTTTTATATATAACTTTTTAATATTATACTTTCAGTTCTCTCAGGCAGCAGCAGAAGAAATCAAAGTTTTTCTGACAGAATATCTAATACAAAAAAATTAACTGAGGTCTGACAGCTGGAGAAAAACAATGGAAAAAATCAGTGAAAAGAATAAGCTCAAAGTAATTCAGATGTCAGTGATTTCAGCTGGAGAAGGCACAGAGGGAACAGATGACAAAAATACAGAATCACATGTCTGTCAGCCTCATGAAGGGCATTTTAAATAACAAGTTCTTTAAGCACACTGACCACAGTCATGGAACTTTCATCTAGTTTTCAACAGAATGAATGAAAGATAATAATGTAATCATTGCTACCCTAGRCAAAGAGAAATCAACTCCTTAGAACAAATGAATATATAATTTCCTATGCAAATAATGCAGAGTACCAAAATGTTTTATTTGAAAAATAAACCCTTAAGACACATTTTTAAAAAAACATAATATTACAACTATATTTTAGCATTTTGTCAAATCAAAAATATATCCTTAGGTTGTAAACTGTTCATTATAATGGTCAAGCCTTAGAAGGATTGACATGTTGGATCTGAAAAGTGCTGCAGAAATGAATTTGATGCATAATCAGGTAAAAATACGTAGTGCAGGTATATGTTCTTGTTAAGGGCTTCTGGTCTTTTTTCACACAGGAGAATGCACATCAAAGAGAAAYGAAATCAGTTTATATTAGTGACATTTCACCGAAAGCACAAAAGTAAAGGATATTTAAAAGTCACATTAAACTCCCACAAAACAGTCTTTTCTGTTGGAGCCATCAGATGCATCAGCTGTTAGTAAACTTAAGATTTGACCTAYGTTTAAAGAAAACAGAGAATTCAATATAGCTCTTCTGCATCTCYGATTTCCCTATTATGCAGTTCTTTGAGTTGTTTAAAGTAAAAATAAGATACTAGTAAGACATCCTGAGCATACAGACATATGCCAAAGCAATATCACAGTGGCTTTCAAAGCAACATATTCATGTCGCTGTTTAATATATTACCTTCCAAAATATCTTAAACTTTGCAACTGTACACTGACCACAGTCCAGATGAGTCTTCTACTTCGCACTATGAGCTCTCAAATCCTTTGTTTAGAGATCTGTTTTGTCCTCATATTGACACATACATGCAGCTCTCTGGCTGTCCAAATAAGGTTTACATCCTAAATGTATAACTGCGTCAAACAGCAGCTGAACTGTCGATTCACAAGCTGCAAGAAGAGAAAAGGTAAGTTAGAAATGCTCTTTAAATGGAGCATGACACTCATAGAAATGACTCTAGCAACTTCAAAGAGATTTTAAGAAACAAATTCCTCTCTGGTCACAGCAAGGAGACATCAAATGAAAGACTGAACCAAGGCAGAATCATTTCAGTTGTGACTACTCCAACCAAAATAAAATAAGCAAGGAAGTTCATTGCATATGGATTATTATCAGTGTTAGAAACATCATCTTAGACTGGGGAAGATGAAACAACCATTTTTCCCCTCACTTTTTGCAACCTAGTTTGTTGAAAGCTTGCTATCTTCAGATGCAGTTCAATGGAACTTAAAAAAATGTTCCCTGACAGAAATATTCTGACACAAAATACTAACAACATGACTTCTTTGCAGTGTCTTTGCAATTTGAGAGGTGCAAACATAGGTYTGTTCTAAAAACTGACTCTTCAGTGGAAGAAGTTACTGTAAAAGCATCATTGTCCAAGTTTAAAAATATGGTTATATCATGTATTGATCAAGATGTACGCTAGCAATCAGAAAGTATGGGCTGTTACTGAAAAACCTAAAACTTATGCACTGAAAGACAGCATTAAGTGCTTACACTCTAACAGTGTGTTATTATAAGATCATTACTTCATAAAGGAAACAATTCAATCATTTTCTGCAGTTTACTAACAATAGCAATTAGCAGGCATTTAAAATTCACCCAGTCAAGCAAAGAATACTTAACTACACTAGGGGAAATGCAACACACACATTTTTAATGAAATGATATTCCTGTCTGAGGACACCGAGATGGGGAGCATGATAATTTTTTCAAGGTTACCTTTGATCCTGATCACCTCCCCATGTTGGGTCACTGCTTAGCTGTACAAATGCTGTATAGCAGAAGGAAAAAGCAAAGCGAGAACAAGAACTGCCTCTTTCAGCAACAGCATCAGCTTACAAAGATACGGCACACGTATTCCTTGCCAAATCAGCTCGGTCTAACTTGGGGAGAAAAGCATGCTTTTCAAACTTACCTTGTACACTCTCTGATATTCCCAGTGTTTTTTGGACATCTCTGCAGATTTTGGAGAGGCAGGACTGAAACTGCTCATCACAATCATTTTTTTTATAGCCGCAAGTGTCGTAGCATCTGTCATGGTGATTGCAGCACTTTGTCATCGAAGGGATACCGATGTCGAACTGTGAAGGAAATCCCCCTCCACCGTTAGTAGGTATTTAACTAGGAAAGATGCAGTCTCTGAATACGATGGGATATGAAAGACAGAAAGTAGAAACTAATATAATGGCTCCAGCGGTCATTCACTGATCTGGGATTGGCAGTTCTCCTCTAACAAATTGATCAACATTTCCTCTCTAGCATTAAGGAAAACGGATTGGTGTCAGCAGGAAGAATAAAGGTAAGGGCCAACGCCTCCACTTGCACAAACAGAGGGCTATTGTGGGAATTACTCARTGCTTCTGAAAACACAAGATGAAACATTTTTACTGGAAGATTAGAAATTAATTGGCATTGTTTTATACCTGTAATATTTTAGGTCAATAATGAAAATACTTCTCTGCTACTCTGTTTCTAATCCTATCATTTTCCAAGCAGACGCTGGAGCTAATGGCAGTGGGAACACTGCAAATGGGTGCTGTCCTCATCCTCACCACGAGGGAGGAAAAGAGCTCCCACACTGCGGGAAAGTCTGTGTGGAAAACCACAGAGAAACCAAAAACAGACTCACCTGTACTCCAAACAGAGGAGATCCACAACCATTTGGTGGTGAGGGCTTATATCCATAGCGGGCAATGGGCTTTGATCCTGAAAAGGTAATTTATAGGTCTTAGGTAGGTTTTTTTTGCACAGAAGCTTAGTGCTGTCAACACTCCTGAGATACTTAAGACAGCACCAGCTGTATTTTCGAACCAACCTGTATGTCCAGGCACCTGAGCACAGGCCGTTCTTTCCTACCCAGAGGGTCTTTTTTAAGCAGGGGGTTGGCGGCGGTGCCGGGCGGGAAGGGGCCGCGCGGGGCCACCGGGGCCGGGCGGCGGCTCGTCCCGCCGCGCCCGGGCCGCGGCCCGAGGCAGGCGGCGAGGCCGCGGCGGCAGCCAGGGGCACTCACCGTCGCCGCACTTGTACTGGCAGAGCCCGTCCTCGCCGCCCAGCAGGTCGAGGGCGGCGTTGAGGTACACGTCGATCTTGTGCACGCCGTTGCGGATGGTCTTCAGTGTCATGCGCCAGTCGGGGGTGTGCGGCGGCTCCTGGCCCCGCGCCGCGGGCGCCCGCGGGCCCGGCCAGGCCGCCAGCGCCAGCGCCAGCAGCAGGGGCAGCGCTCGGGCCATGTGGCCCGCGGCGAGCGGCGCCCCCCACGCTAAGCCGCCCTCCCGGCCCGGCCGCCCGCCGCCATCCCCGGCCCGCCAGGGCCGCCTCCCCGCCCCTCCCTCCGCGCAACCGCCCCAACCGCCGCAACGGCTCCCTGGGAGCGCCGCTGGAGCCGGCGCTTCCCGCCTCCTGCTTTTCCATCTTGGAACCTGCGTCCCCCCGTCCTCCTCCCCCCGCTCCAAGCTCGCGGGAGGCGGCTCGGCGCGGCCGTGCGGAGCGACTGCGTCCCGACGGAGTCGCTTCCTCATATGGAGACGGAAAGGGTCGGGGGGAGGGAAGTGTCTAAAAGTGTCTAAACGTAAGTGTGGAGCTGAGGCAGAAGCCCCTGGTGAGGGTGCGAGCGTGTCCCTGCTCGCTGGGTCTGCGCCGCGTAGTCCTCTCCGAGCACTCGCTTAATCGGAGCAAAATCCCCTTTTCTGTGTGGTACTGCAGTCAGAGGGGAGTGTGGAAATGAATATCATATCATCCCTGAGGAAGAGGGAAAAAAAAAGGAAAAAAAGAAAAAAAAAAAAAAAAGGAAAGGGGAAAAAAAAAAAAAACCCGAAGCTTTCCCGTCTCTTGCAGAAACGATCGTCAGAGCGGGAAGGGCCAGTATTGCAAAACGCGCCTCGGCACCTGGCCGGTTACCACAGGGCTGTTTGTGCCGCAGCACCGCGCCGGGCTGGCGGGTCACGGCGCCCGCCGCCCTGAGGGGAGCGCGCGCGGCTCCCAACGGCCGCCCCGAGCCCCAACGGCCGCGCGGCTCCCAACGGCGCGGGGCAGCGGGGCCCGCGCGGCGTCCAGGCTGAAAAGTAAAACCCGGCGGGCTCCGCAGTGCTTTCGCGGCGCTGTCGGTGTGCCAGTGGTCCCGCGACCTTTATACAGAGCAGTGATTCAGTCCCAGGAAACGCCAGCAGATGCACCGGTTAATCCGCTGTAAAAGAGGGCGGGAGGGAAGCCTGCTTGTTAAACGTCGAGTCTTCATCTGCTGGTGAAATATCAGGGCAAAATGAAGTAACTTGCAAAGCATTCTGGATTTATAGAATATGTAATGATCTTTTATTTAAATTCCAAATGTTTCTTAGATGAGCTAAAGTGGAACCGCATAGGAGCTGTTTTAATTTTTGTGAAGAAAGTATTATTTTAAGATGTCCGAAATTCCTCAGTACATAGTAGTATTGAGTTTTCAGGAAAAACTGTAAAGAAGAACAGGAGATAGAAAGAAAACTGAATGATTTCCACACCCAAAGGCAGAGCAGAAAGATATGTGACAAATATCGTGTTGTTTTTTTCTTTTCAGCCTCAGCATCTAGTACTATTTATAGTTACTGAAGAAATAGATGGAAAAAGATTTGCCAGAAGGTAAATAAATCAAATAAAAGAAGGAGCTCTTCATACATTTTTATTCAGTAAAGTAGTTTTTATGCAGGGATATACTTAAGTACTGTTCTAAACAAGGGGTAAGAGGAGCATTTCATTCCCTTACTTTCATTACCGGTGATTGAAAGGGTGCATTTGTGACAAATACCTATGTTATTTTTTATCAGAGAGTAGAAGTGGTGAAAAATAAATGAGAATAAATATGCTGCATAAAACAGATTATAGTAAATGATTTAATAAAATAAATTCATGTTATAGTATCATAAGAGATTTATTAATTGAGGGAAATAAACTAAAGTCGATATTTAAAACATTTGTGAATTAGTATTGAGTGAAGTATATTATAAAAGCATGGGCTTCCTGATAGAAGTGTGGGTAGGATTTCATCATTGGGCTTGTGAAAGTAGAAGGACTTTCTTTTGGGTTCATTTTTGTTGGTRGTCACTCGTGTTTGCCCAGTTCTGCATCAGCTTGGGCATTGCAAAACTCAGCATGCAGGATCAGGTTCTTGAAGGTAGTGTTAGTTTTATTTGATATGTATTGATTTATATTATTTATTTTATATGTATTTTATAGATACATGTATATGCAGTAAAGCCCCACCTGGGTTTGTCAAAGTACTAGAACTGTAGATAGTATACTAAGATAGTATATGTAGATATACTAAGATAGTAAAGACATTTATTATTTAAGACACTTTCRTTTTTATTATTTAAGATGAAAGATTCTAAAATTCAATTGTTGTTTGACCASCTATGGTTAAATTAATAAAACTTAGAGCTAGAAAGTTGCCACAATCTTGATGATGAGGTGAGGTATATTAACTAGATAAAAGTTACCTGTTTTGTAGCGCTGAGGGAACCATGACCAAACAGAGTGAATATCTGGGCGATTGAGTACAGTGTTCCGATCATACTCAAGCTGTGAATGAACAGGCAGCTTTCAACCTAGTTTCTCAATAAGCCTGTAGAATCATCAGGCAAGCAAAGCAGCATCCCAGAAGTTTCTCATGGCCCTGAGGTGGTGAAATTTCTTTAAAGAATTCTGTTTGCTGTCCTATCAGTGCAGCTCATACATCACCAGGGTCACAGTCMTTTTTCCAGCTACTGCTTTTAGTATTGTTATCCGTTTTAAAAGCACCCAATCTAGCACCAATTTAAATGCAATATGAAATATTAAAACAAAAAAGTAATAAAAACAAATGGGCATTTAATAAGCATGCTTTTATTACAGAATTTTGCATAAAGCTCTATGCATTTTCAAAATACCTTCTTTAAAGATTTGTACTAATAGTTGCTAAGTTACATGACTGCTGATTGCAGCAAACAGCTCGTGTACAATTCTGCATGGGTGTTAACAAGAAAACAATTTCTTTTCAGAGCTTCAGACGTTGTACCGTGAAATGAGACTCCTTGTCACGTGGCGACTGATCCAGTCGTAGTAGCTGGCCACTTTTGTATACACACCAGGGTGACCAGGCTCGCCGCAGTTTTCTCCCCAGCTCACAACACCCCAGACATAGGCCACGTTTTCCGCATCAAAACAGACCAAGGGGCCTCCRGAGTCACCCTTGCAACTGTCTATGGAACCATCGTAAGTACCTGAAGCARAAGAAGTAACAAAAAGCAAAATTAAGTTCACATGTAACCTAGCACAGAACATAGAGCTGAGGTGGGTGTTAGGTTGCCTGATGGTCACGGGTAATGGTACTTCATAGCCATGAGTAACAGAGGTTCCTAATGCACACAGTCCATTCCTCCTCCTTTCCTTTAAGTGCAGGGATTCATTTTATGTTTACAGGGGTCCAGATTCTCTTCATTTGCTTTGGTGTAATCATGGGTGACGTGAATCTTGTTTTACTCTGTGTATTTTATATCATTAGAAGTTACCCCTAAGAGTGAACAAAAGCTAGAAGGAAAAGGTACAAAGACTTGTAATATGGTTTCCTATAGGAATTAAGGGTATGTATGTGATCATACTGTGTGTAGGCCAATGTGTTGGCTTAGGTGTCCCCTCTGCCAAGCAGTTTCATTTAACAGAGGGGCAGAGGCCTTAAAATTACATTTCTCTACAAGTTTGATGGAAACAGATGTGCAGATATAGGAAAGAGTCCAAGTGGCTGCCTTCTGGAGCACCAGGTCCCTAAGGCGTATGTGGGTAAGGGTCACTGCTCTTCGCAGCTTTCAGTGATCAATTTGGCAAATATGATGCTCAGCAAAACTGAATTAGGAGTAAAGTTCTCAGCCAATAGAAAGCATGTTTTCTGGCCAGATTAATCTTACTGGTAATTTGAAAAAAATTGAAACATTTCTCCTGGAGGGAATAGGGATAGCAAATGTCTGACTGGGTGAATAATCACATTCCAGTCCATAGAACTACTGATGTGCTCCAAGATAAGCATTAGTTTAAATATTTTTCTGAATTGGAATGAAATATTGTAAATGTAGAAAGTTCAGTGAGCAGTAACATACTTATGCATTTAAAAAACAATTGAAATTGCATGCTGAAATTTACATAATCACAGACACTTGGCAAACTGTCATCACAAGTCTACTAATAAATATATATATAATAGTGGATGCATTTAGGTTTCAAAGGTAGAGTGTTTTGTTGAAGGCAATAGGGTGACATTCAGTTTATTATATTTCCTAAGTCTTGCAGGTTTCCTGACAATTTATCAGATCTTATAAAGAGTATTTTTGACGGTGACTTTAAAAAAATATAGTAACAAAAAATTGTTGCTTGCCTGCACATGCCATTTCTTTAAAAAAGCGTCCTGGATACAATTCAGAACAATTTTGAAATAAATTAACATTGCCCCACTTTAGGACATATTGTTTTACATAACCTAGAAAAGAAAAGAATATTTTTTSTAAGTTAGAAATAAGTGCATAGTAGACATTTTAAATATAATTAATATCATAAAGTGAAAGCTTTATATTTGCTTTTCTACTGAATGTAATCTTCAGTATTATAAACTAGATGAACTGCCATTAACACTCTCCCCATGTGTACTATAGTACATTAGTTATATGGTTCAAAACAAAAGCAGAGTGGTTTAATTGCAGCATTAAATTCAGTAGTTTCATTTTGTAGCATTTTTACTCTTTCCCCTCATTTGACTCTTCAGTTGCCTCTAGAGCCCATGCAGAGCAAGCAGTTCCAACAATGAAGAAACACTTGGGAAAAAAATATTCCTCATGACATGATAAATCCTCTTTTGTATTCCCCCCACTGAACCATCTCTTCCAGTTTTACCTCACTTACTTTCTCCTAATATGGATGCCCTTCTTTGCCTCTGAGCATGTWACCTTCCTCTGAGCTTTCCCCAATTTTACTATGTCCTTTTGAGATGAAGGGACCAGATATTAAAGATGAAGGTGAGCTCTGCATTCACAATGTTGAGGAGATTCTCTGTCCCTTTCATAGTAATTTCTAACTTTGTATTTGCTTTACGGCTGCTACTGAGCATGGACAGAAGCAGCCTCCCAGCCAGCACTCAGTAGCTCCAATGCCAGACTGTGATCTCTCAGTAGCACAGGACAAACACGTCATTTGAAAGTGTCATTTTTATCTGGCTTATCTGTCTCCACGCAGCCTTCTCTGGGTTACAGTCAAACACAGCTGAGACAGGATGTGCTGACTTTCAAACTGTTGGCAGCAGCTCAGGCCCCTGTGGGCTGGGGACATAGAACTGGCCTTGGCTTTGGGCCACAGTGAGCTACCACCTGCCAGTTGTTAAATACCAGCAGGTCTCCATATAAATCTGAAATCAGTAATTACAGCTGCTTCTTTCATATACTCGAAAGGTACTGTACTCCTGTTGTCTCCTCTGAGAAGAAGTACATATGTGAATATCTCAACAAATAATGATATGTTTGCTAAGGGTGGGGTGTTCTTCATGCTACCATCCTCATTCCGGGTGACATAAATGTCTGTGCTACCCAGGGACACACCAGCTCGAGGAGTGTAAATCTAGCTGAAAAATCAACATTTCTTTCTGTCAGAGTACTCTTTAACCAGAGCGGTTTCCAGGCCAATTTGCTAAATGACTGGCACAACAAAGGAAGCTGCTGAGGAAAGAGAACAAGCAGGATGATGGCTGAAAGTCAAGTCATGGCCTGCGTGGGTTTTTGTTTGTTTCTTGAGAGCTTTTGCACACACCACTCTGGAGCCTTTTCAAAATTAAACCTAACCACAATTTGAAAACAGAGTTATAAATTATCCATTCTAGTGGTAAGCATTAAATCAAGTACCTTTTTCTAGTCCCCACCCGGAAACCTTGCATGTATCACCAGGCTTGAACATATACTCAGACCAGGGAATACAGGCAGGTGTGGTGTGTTTTAGGGAGCATTCGCCTTTTAAAGAACTTTCCAGCTCCAACAAAGCAATGTCATTTTCGTAAGTTGCAGCATTGTATTTCTCATGGATGATCAGTTGTTTTAACTGGTAAGTATCTGTCTCTTTGTTAAACCGTATTGTATCCAGCAGCCCAACCCAGATCCGGTACAGATGAACTCGATTTGCTCTGGAAAAAAAAAAAAAAAAAAGAGCAAAATATTTTATTTTAGGTGCTTAACACAAGCACACTTGTATCTTTTCTCTAGCAGTAAACTTCTGCATTTTATTGAAGTTTTTTTATAGAATAAAAATGCATATTACATATATATAGATTCTTTCGGACTTTATGTCCAGGAATGCCTCAGGTTTCTTGAGCAAATGAAAAGCAAATGACACTGCTGAGCTGCAACTAATGCAGAAAAGAATGCTAAATGTCAGCGTCTGTATTCATTGCCCTCACAAAGAGAAAACAGAGGTCTGTGCCCCCTTAATTTCACATGAAATAACAGTGAGCAGGTGTGAAAGGGACCCCACCTGCTTCTTCTAGGGAGTATGTTCCCTTCAGGGACTGATGGTGGAACAGATCCCCAGAGCAGAGGTGATTGGGGAGAGAGAAGGGCCCTTCTGTGCAGGGTGGCTGAACTGAGCCTTTCCCGCTTGGCTCGTGTCTGCCTGAAGAATGCTGTGGCTCCTTAAAATCGGCATTGCTTTTTCATCTTTCTACACACCGCCAGAACAATCTATTTTCTCTGGATCTTTCTCATCATTAACTTGGGTGAGCTAGTGCTCTTAATTATTTTATGTCCAGGCAAATAGGAGTCAGCACAAAAGTGGATGAGAAGAGCAGTAATCTCCAAGTTAATTTTGCCGAAGGAAATCGTTTCTCAGTTTGTTTTTTTTTACCTGACACAGTGTGCAGCAGTCAGAACCCAACAGCCACCAATATAAACCCCGCCACAGTACACTGTTGTACCTTCATTGCCAGTTCCTCTAATTGCCACTTGCCAAGGGAATTCACCCTATTTAAACAACAAAAATCCAAGTAATAATTAATTTTAATTATTGTGCTGTTATTTGTAGTGCATAAAGGGAGATAGTCCATTGCATCACCTCATCTCTTTGACTGTAGCTGACTGTAGATCCAAAAGCTGCTGCCCAGAAATTGTCCATGAATTGTGCACAGAGGGTGCACATTCCAAAATACAGTAATTTTGCTCACTCTTGTCACTTTGTGCAATCTCTCTCTCTCCCCAGCTTTCTATCAGAAAACCCCTCCAGCGAGTGAAATGGGATTTGGAATCAGGAATGTAGGATCTGGCCCAGTATGATCCAGTATAGCATTTATGACTGTAACCTGATTCACAGGCTTAGGCTTAAAATCTGTTTTGCCAAAATTGTAATTTCTAGATAGAATATTAAGTATTTTGTTGAATTATTGTACTAGTAGTTTGCTGATTCATCGTCAATGTATCCTTCAATTATAATACTCTATAATATTTTACTCATAAGATCTGCCTCTTTTTGCATTAATTTGGTACTCTACCACTATTGCTGCTAGTTGTGAAGTTAGTATCTTAGCTGCGTTTGTTGTTTTCAAGCATTTGAACAGAAGGACAACAATGCTCATTTAAATTGATACTGATTGAACTCTTATCTAGTGAAGTGTGGGGTTTTTTGGTTTGCTTTTTTACCTTTTTTGCAGTTTCTCCACCTATGATTCTTTTCCGTCGAGTTAATGTGCGATTTGTAAGACCGCAGTTTATTTGGGGAAGAAATGTCTTTATTCTTTTTCTTTCTTTAACCAAAAGGAAAAATGTGTCACAGAATTAAGGCACTACATCAAAAACTTTAGGAACTTAGTAATTCTTACATCACTRTTTTGGGACAGGTTATCTTTATTTTGAAAACATGAGTGCTGTGAATATTGTAAGTAGCTGCAATAGAAGAAAGGCAAAGATAAAAAGCTTCTGCAATTGTTTTTGCTTTGAATATTGTGTCTTACTATCACATTATTTCCCTTCATTTTGCAGTTCCAGCATTCAAACAAATACTTTTAAAGCCGTTCCATTAGATTGCTTAGAGCTTACCTCCATCAGTTGCCAAAACATGCAAATGTGGATCCTCACCCAGGATAAGCTACTACAGCATTGTTGAAATGAGCAGAAAGATAGCAAGAGAGATAGTAAGCTCCCAATTTTGCACTACTAAACCTTAGAGTCCAAATATTCTGAGTGTTCTGGATCTGCCAAGCTGACCGGTAGCTGGAAAGCCATATATTAGAGGGTATGTGGGATTTATGAAGAGTTAGTTATACTTACCTGCATCCATACTGTGATTTTCAACATATTTTTCTCTATCTGTAGTAGAATAATGAAATACTGAAAACATCTGCATATATTAAACTTTGTCCTATTACTTGAATATATGTTTATGTGCCAAAATCGTGGTGCACTTTTAAAACAGTAAACAGTAACAGTTTTTAAAACACCATTTMACAGATAGTAATATTCAATGAGCCTAGTGCCTGATGTTTTCTTTCTTAACAGACATTGCTTGGCTGCCTTTACCTACASGTGACGTGTTGGTTCATAGTCACTTGACTCCTCCTCCTCTACAGTGCTTAGGGAATCCTAAGAAATGGCCTATTTCTGTCTTCACTAGGAAATGTCAGAACTTCCTCCTTCTGCCCCATGGAAGCATGGGGCAGAAGTCTGGAAGATGGAATCTGGAAGATGGAATCTCTGGAAGATTCCAGAATCTGGAAGATTCTGCCCCATCTTCCAGATTCTGCCCCCAATTCTTCCAGATGGGGCAGAAGTCTGGAAGATTTCTAAAGTCCAAAGAAGCATTAGGTAACTGGATTTTTTTTTCCAGTTTACCTGATGCCTTTATATGCAATGTTCTTCTGTAACAGGTAAGGGAGGGCATGCAACTTGAGAGGTAAATTAAATGCTTCCTTGGGTCTGCTATGKCAGCCTTTATTCAAATAAAATTCCTGTTGAATTCAGTTGCTAAATARTGGCAGAGGCTTTGGCTATTATCAGGTTACTGACAATGATGTTTACCGTTAGAGTTCAGTTTACCCTTACCAATAGTGTTTACTTTTTGGCTTTAGACTTTGTATCTCATCAGAGCAAGGAAAAACACTGCAAGCTCAAAACGAGACAAATCTTTTCAACAGGGAGGGAAACACTACAGGAAAACTATTATATTAGCAAACTGGTTCAGTTCATTATCTTTGAGGAAAATATTCCTGCCTGACTTGTCTACAATTTCTTCAGAGACATAAGATACCAGTTTGATACATGATTTAAGCCTCTTAAAACTTTAGCAGTTTTTCTTTATTTTAAAATTTTTATTCTTTTTTTTTCCTAGAAGGAGTCATATTTAACCTATGACAAATGTCCTATGACAAATAATATAACCTTGGGAAGATGATGTCTTACATGCATTTTGTATTGCTCATCTGTTAAGTAATTTAATAATACGCACAGTGTAGTTGTAACTGATCAGAATAGAAAGAGGGAAAGAGAGAAAGAGGTATCAGAAGGAAACCTGCACAGAGAAGTTGAGCTTCATCCTCTTCTGTGAGGCAGTCAGTTTCTTTGTTGCAGACGTTCTTACTTGGAATACAGATGTTGGACCTACAGTGGAAACTACTCCCTCTGCATGCTGTAATAAAGGAGAATTAYATTGGTCAAGTACAGGGTCATATGGTTCAACAATCTTACATATTTAAGCAGCTCATTTAACATAAACAGAATGTAACATCCATGTTACAAGGCACTTGGTTTTCTTTTTACATAAGATGTAAAATGAAATGAACACTTGGTTTTCTTGATTTTACCCTCTCAAAACAAAGGTTCAAAATTTTGGGCCAATTTACACCTTACTAGTTTCATACATAACTTGCAATACTTGAAATTATGGCAGAGTTTTTGGAGTTACTCTCTAATCTTATACCAATCTACCGTTTAAGGATGTATCTCTTTAACATCAGGCAGTCATCTAAAAGTATCCAGATAGCCCAATGTTAATTTCAACATCACTAAACTCAGTGGAAAGGTTTCCGTTTACTCCAGAAACCATTGTTTTCAGCCTATATAGATAAAAATAGTGCCATTTTGGTCAAGTACAATCTAAATACATACCCTCAATATACAAACCTRCCTATGCTTATTCTTTTAAAATGCCTGTGATTATGTTTCCATCAGTTTCCAYGATTCTTCTGTCTACTCAAATTTACTGACAATTGTAAAACTACAAAATTATTAGGGGTAGTGATGAGATTTGTAATCCCATCAGGTCAAGTTTGGCRCTTGAAATCCAGTTTCTGAAAGTATTCTTCATTCAGGTTATGTGAGCTACTCTATTCCTTGTTTCCAATGAAAACTTTTACAGTTGGAATTGCTGATKCTAAAAGAATGATTGTGCATGAACAATGTGTGCACCAGGAACTATCATTTTATGGACGATCTGGCATTTAAGAAAGGCCTTACTTTGGTTTAAAGATGGCTTTTAGGATGATGGATCAATTATTGATTTTTCTCGACTAAAGATGCATTATCATTTGATATAACACTGCTAATATTTTGTATCAGTGTTTGRTGGTCTCCTAAATATCTTGTTTGTATTTCTTCATTAGATGCCACCTACCTGCTTCAGAAAATGTTTATGGGTTTTTTTTGTCCTGGTGAAAAGACGAAACTTTTTTCGTTGCCTTAATGTAGTGACACTTTTGTGAAAGTTTTTGCGTTCWTGGGGATGATTTTCTGAATGATTGTTGAACAACTGAGAAAGTAAGTAGCTGTTACCTTTGCAGCATAGCTCATCACTTAGGTCCCCGCAATCGTTGATTCCATCACAGGTGTCAGTCAAAGCAACGCACTTGCTGTTGACRCAGCGGAACTCCCCCGCTGAGCAGTCTGTGCCGCAAGGTGAAAACAGTTAGTGTGCAAATAACTGCAGATTCACAGCTACCCAGGGGAATATTTTTCTAACTTGTTTTATTCTTTAAACAGATTSGCCCTAGGCATTTTAAGGCTTGCTAAAGTAAGTAGTAATCTTCTTTGGGCTAGTTCATATATTACACGTATGTAAAGTATGCTTAAAACAAAGAACTCCAAGTAGATCTTTACAGAGAAAAAACTACTGACCTCTGACATTTTTGTAGCATTCAAGGCTAACAAATCCCTCATTCCTATCTCTTGCTTTCTCCACTATGTAACATTCAGCAAGACTTGTCTCTAGGCCTCTGCAAGTTATTTGAAGACACTGTGATGAATTTAAGGTAGATTTTACGATGTTGGAATTGGACTGGTAGTATTGAGCCCCTCTGTGAAGACACAAATAATAACAGTTCATTTCATTTCAGTGGATTGTCCTCTGCTTTTATTGCTCAGATGTTGTGTGATTTTGGTCAAGGCCAAGAAAAAAAATACAGATTTCATATGGAATGGGATGGGGTGAGTAAGAGATTGTTCTACTTTGGGGGRGAAAGTAAAACAAAATGATGTTTTTCACCAATTGCTGCATAGGATTGGCCCTCGACTCATATGTAGCTCTGCCAGAGTCACCGAGTATCATGACAGAAGATTCTGCTTGTACAAAAGAACTTGTCAGTTTGTCAGTGCTGTCTCTGTATGRACATAGATAAGCTGTAATTTGGAAATTTTGGAGGTAAATTCTCACATTAAGTTGAATATCCCTTGTATTAGCAGAATCAGTGCATGCTTAGGAGGCTCAGGAAGCTGCAAGATTGGGATTTAATAAATACTGCCTTGCTTGTAGCTATGTTTTTACCTGAATGTTGCTCTGTTAAAGCATGTGTGTATGTCTCCAAAACAAATACGGACTGAGTAAATAAGTAACTACAGAGGCTTACAATTGAGCTCGAGGACTGAGTGTTCTGTCTCAGCACAAACTCTGTCTGTGTGATTTAAGGAGATACAGATCAGGAACGAGAAGTATTTCTCATCCATAGGGGATGAATTAGGGCAGCACGAAATAGCATCAGTCTTCTGGAAGGATTGGTGGCAGGATCATTCCTACATGCTTAAGTTAATTTAGTGGTATATTTGTAAAATTATTGCTTACAGGATATAAAATGAACTCGTTATGATGAGCTGAGTAACACAGGTCACCAGTGTGGTCACAAGCCAGAGGACAAACTGTGTGCAGCTTCAGCTATASCTGGGGGTAGAGCAAGCAAGGGCAGTGGGGGGTGAGCTCTGTGGAGACCCTTGTTCTGCTGCTCACCAGCCTGGCTGGTGCAAGGGGCAGAGCAGAGCTGAGGCCTGCAGTGAGCCGCAGGGACGATGTATGGCTCAGGGTTGCTTGGCACTGCTGCATCTATGCATGTTCCCTTGCACTAAGCTGACAGAAAACTCGTGCGCCAGTCTTCAGTTTTATTTTAAATGAAAAATAATTATGGCTTGAATGAGATACGGTATTCTATTTGTAATAGAATAGAGAAAAAATCCCCTACATTTTGTCTTTCACGCTCAAATGTCAATTTAAGAAGCTTTACCAGGATATTACAGCTGATACGTATTGAACGTTYTGTCTTACTGTAGGCTGACAGTAACTGACTCTTACATGAGCATCAGTACTTTTTCAGACCCATTGCAGTTATCCAGAGAGAAAGCCCCAAACTTACAACTGAAAGCCAAGGTGCCTGCAGGCCACATTTGCTTCATTCATAGTCCACTCACTATCACATACAAAAAGATCCTCTCTGTGATTCACGGGTTTTACTCGAAGCAAACTTGAATCGCCATGGCCCAAGGAGACTTCAAATGTTTCTGAAAAAAGAAAGGAATCAAAAAGAAAAGGAAATCCCCCAGAAGCATCAAATCAAATCTTATCTTATAGAAGCATTTTAGTGGAAAGACAGTACAAAAATAAAGCATACATAATTTTGACTCCTGGAGACAGCAGAAGTTTGCGTGGAAGGAACAACAGACTGGGAAAGAGAAGCTTTAGGTATTATTTCTGATTCATCTGGCGATTGACTTTTTGTCTTTTCTCAAAATAAGCCAGTTTCAGGACAATTGTGGATACCTCATAAGAGTATGCAAACATCTGCTGAGAAAAGCTTGCATCTTAGTATCTTGAGTTAGCAAGATGTCACGTGAGACAGCTAGATCCTGCAATTGTAGCAAAACTTCAGCTTTTTGAGAAAAGCCCTTATTTTAGTTTACCTTTACCAATAGTGTTTACTTTTTGGCTTTAGACTTTGTATCTCGTCAGAGCAAGGAAAAACATTGTAAGCTCAAAACAAAACAAATCTTTTCAATAGGAAGTGAAACACCACAGGAAAATTATATTAGCAAACTGGTTCAGTTCATTATCTATGAGGAAAATATTCCTGCCTGACTTGTCTACAATTTCTTCAGAGACATAGGATACCAGTTTGATACATGATTTAAGCCTCTTAAAACTTTAGCAGTTTTCCTTTATTTATTCTAAATTTTTTAATCCTTTTTTTTTTTTTTTTGGAGGAGGCGTATTTAACCTATGACAAATATCCTATACCCTTATTTTAGTGAAGCCCTGCAAGGAGATGGCTTGAGACAGCAGCTGGCTTGCAGGAGGCATTTCTGCTCACGCTCCTTGGGGAAGGAGGCTCACGGGAAGGCTGCTGTGCTGCCAAAGCCCTGAGCAGCAGCTTGATGCAGCCTGCGAAGCCGGAGAGAACAAGCACGTTCAGCACAGCAGGCAGGCTGGCTGGCCGGCCACATTTGCAGAACTGCAGCTCTGTTTTCATGACGCTCACTCTGGAGGTGGACAGCGTTCTCCTGCTCCCCGTGAACTCCCTGCAGCCTTTAACACCTGACTTCTCCCGAATTCTCAATGTTTTTACTACTGCAAGGAAATAACACGGCTTTCTGAACTGTAAGTAGTAAAGTAACTACTTTTCTGYAAATGCATGACTGATATATTTTGGAAAAGGAGATATTAATACCTCCAGACACGCAGTTCCCATTGTTCAGAAACCTTGCTGCAGGCTGTTGACATTCATAGCTCTTTAGCTGGCAGTAAGTTTGGAACTGCCTTCCATTGGTAGAGCAAACTGCAGTGCCATTCTTTGGGCACTGGTAGGGAAGTTTACAACGGCATTTTCCCTCCACACATCGTTCCCATGGGTTACAAAAAACTTTCTTACAGGAATTGTGTGTGTATTGGTTACTTAAACATTCTTCTATCAAGTATTTTTCTTGCTCAGCTGGCTGGACAGGCCTAACCTGTCTTTCTTCAGCATTAGATGCTGCATTCTGCAAAACACAAAGTTAAAAAAAAAAAAAATCAAGACTACGAATTACAACTTCTCCCAAAAGTCCTGCAAATCCTTCTCTTCAACAATATTTTCTCGCAAGCCTTTTCCTGTTGTGTTTAAAAGTATTACATTTTATGTGTGGTGTCTATTCCCTTGTCTTTTACCACCTTATCCTCCTCATTTTTTTTCTGGGAGTCTTTTCTTTTTAACATTCTCCTGGTGTAACTTTCACTTACTGGTCTTTTGCAAATATTGCAGTCTTGTTCAAACATCAGCTGAAATTTATAGCAGATTATAAATGTTCTAAGGAAGCAGTTTAACATACCACAGCAATGTGATTATAAGCAAAATTCATAAAGGGAATTAAATACTAGGAAAATAAAAAAGTAACATCTTGATTTTTTTTAGATGTTCTTATTGGTCTAATTGGCTCTGAGGTCAAATCTTACCTGTAAATATTAACAAACTACCTAGAAGGCAAGTATTTATAAGTATCTTCGAGAAATTTGAAAATGAAATGTCCTTCCTCATCTTTTTTTTCTGTATCTTGCACAGCAGTGGATTTGCAGTGTTGTTGCTGATCACTGCTAGACTGCAACAGCTGATTCTGATTGTCCAACCAGCCATCTCTAGGTGAGTGACTCTACATCTATATTTATATTCATATAGCTCTCCAGAAGCTACATTGCTGTGCTTACACTTTGTAAAAGCTGCAGGTGGGAACGAAATTGAAATGTGAAAAATATGTGGATGAACTTTGCATAAAAAATAAGGGAAGAGCTAGTCCTCAAATGTGATTTTTCGACTTCGACTGTGTCCGCTGAATCAATAAAGCTTAAGTTTAAAGTTCTCGTGAAGAAATCCTGCTGCTAGTAAAATTAGTGGTTATATTGTTGGAGCAGCTTTTAACCCAAACCAATTTTTAACAGTTGTATAATCATTAAATTCTTTCTGCTGTTCTCAGGTCAGTAAAATCCAATGCATAATCTCTAATTAGCCAGATCTGGCTTGGCATAAGTCTCATATTTTAAAAGACTAGAGTTGCACTAAATAGGAACCAAAGTAGCTTTTTTTTCTGTAAGGGTTTTGCTAAAAGACTCAGGTTATGATGAATGCTGAGCCCACATAGGCTTTATGGGGTACTTTTGCCAGAAGAAATTCCAGAGCAAAAGTAGAGGCATGTTGCCACGTTAGAAGACTATAATCTCCTTTCTCAAAAATAGTGCCACAGGACAAACAGTTGCACCATTCTCTGGTCAATTGTGCTCGTAAATTTGGGTTTAGGATCATAATTAAGATCTTTTCCATAAGATGGCTGAAGTAAATCTCAGATATAATCGGTACTATGAAGGAGAAATAGAAAACTTCAAATATTCAAACTGGACTAAAACAAGTGGATTAATACTATGAAAGGAAACTTGAAAAAAAGCTTTTATAAAAGTAATCTTGTTGACCTTTTTTTTTTTTTTTTTATAAATTAATGATACCACAATAAAATAAATTCTTACCTCTGCTCCACAAAAATGAGAGAGAGACAAGAAAACCAAGAGAACTGGAACCACTCTCATGATGAAGTCTTATCTCTTTTTTTTAGAGAGATACCCTCCAGTTAGGACTCTTTTGAATGGCAGTTGTTTGATTTGTGTTTAATTTTTAACCATTAGTAAAATACTTCAAAGTGTATTTAGAAATAAAGTGCAGAAGCCTCCATTATTAACTGATAAATGTGATCTCTCCAGAGGGATCCTGCTTCAGTCCATCTGGTTTTACTGTAACTGAAAGAAGAGATAACAAAAGTAAAGGCTTTAAAGTAAATGATTAAAAGGAAAAACTTACGAAGAATGTACTTTTCCTTTCCTTTGCCAGAGGAGACTGAGGGAATCTTCAGACTAATTCTGCTGGTTATAGGCATTCATCTCAATCAGATGAATTAATGTTGAAGATAAATGTATTTTTACAGAACAGATTTATTTATTTATCTATCTATTTATTTACATCTTTGGGGGGATGAGGGAGAGAGAAAATGACAGACATGTACAATCCATTACATAGCTAAATTACTGGTTCATATTACAAGATTTTTATAGAAAATTGCTCCAAGTGTTTGTCACATGGTTGAAGTATTCTTTTGAAAGTCAGTTTCCAGGAAAGCATTAAATCAAAAAAGCAGAACCAAAATCCTCCACAAATAGCAGTACAGGCTACATAGAAGGTGGTATCAGATCTTGTTTCTGAGGCAGGCAGTTTGCAGAGAGAGGGTCCTGTCTCTTTCCTGTTAAGACAACTACCTCTCTGCGCTCCCAGCTCCTTTATAGCTCAGTGTCACACAGTGACACCAAGACAGAAAGGTCTGATCACTTGAGACATGTGGTCAGGAGAAGGCTGGAGTCTGAGAGGGGCTGCTGCAGCCATCKATTGTACAGAGCTTGGCGTTATGTTCGTGGTCCAACACAGCAGCTACAAGCAGAGGAAACAAGCAGAACTCCATCAATGTGGTCACAGGAAAGTGAAAAAAAAAGATGGCTGTTGTTTTTCATTGTTTTTATTATTTCATTGTTGCTTTTTTCATTATTATCCTGTCATACCTTTGTCAGAAATGTATTCCTTTTCCCCTAGAAAGTGGGTTCATTACCCCGAGATCTTGGAGCCCCATCAGAGCAGCTATGTGCGTTTGCAGCCTGGGGCCGCTTCGCCCGCCGTCCCGCGCGGAGCGGGCACAGGGCGCACTTGGACGGGGCTCTTGGAACACACGTGGGAAAGGGGCCGCCCCTCTGCATGCGCTTCGTTCTTTCGGCTCGTTTGGACGCGCCTTCTGCGCTGCCGGTGGCTCCGGGGTTCACGCCCCGGGCTGCGGGCGCAGCTGCTCGCGCACCCAACGAAGCGCGCGCCCGTGCCCAACGGCCCTTAACGGTTGTCAGGGCGCTCCCTAACGGTCGTAAAAGTGCTCCCCCCGCCGTATCGTGGGCCTTTTGCGGCCCTGCCGGTTGGAGTTAGTTTGTGCTCTGCGGCGGAGGGGGCTGCGCATGCGCGGAGCTGCGGCGCGCTGTGCTGACGAGAGCGGCCGCGCGCGCCACGTGCCTGACGCGGGGGTGCAGCCGTTAGTGACCGTTACTGACCGTTGGTGAGTGGGCTGTGCTGCGCTCGCGGCGCCGCGGACGCGAGTGCGCTGAGGGGCTCCTGAGGCGGCTCCGGCGGTGGTGGCGGCGTCCCGCGGGAAGGGCGGCCGTGCCCAGGCTTCTGGCGGGTGTGGGGGCCCCTTCCGTCCCTCGGGAGGGTGCCGGGAAAGGAGCTGTGGGTGCTGTGCACGCTTCCATTTCCAGACGTTCCTCTACGGCTCTGGTGCAAGGATGTGCTGCTCGGCCCTGTGATAGGAATGGATAATTCGGAGGAATATGAATAAAAGCCATAATGTTGTCGGCAGTCCTTTTTTTTTTTTTTTTTTTTTTTTTTTTCAGTTAGACATTGCAGTACATTATGGTGGAAATCTTAGGTATAGATAACTGCATGCATTTAGTAAGGAGTGAAGTGTCTAACTATTGAATTTGCAAACAATGCTGTTTAGAGACCTGTGTTTATACAGCAAGTTAAATATGAAGCACTTTTTACTTCTTAACTGTGTTTTTCAGTTTAGGAGATAACAGAGAATGACTTTTCGTGGAGGAGGAAGAGGAGGGGGCTTCAATCGCGGAGGAGGTGGTGACAGAGGTGGCTTTAATCGTGGACGTGGTGGCTTTGGACGGGGAGGCGGTGGACGAGGAGGTGGTGGACGAGGAGGCTTCAACAGAGGCGGATATGACCAGGGACCTCCAGAAAGGGTAGTCTGTAAGTTATGTGAAGGAATTATATTTGTTTTATCTAGAATGACACTTGCAGGTCTTAAGTATTTCTTCTTTATTTCAGTGTTGGGAGAGTTCATGCATCCATGTGAAGATGACATTGTTTGTAAATGTAAAACGGAAGAAAACAGGGTGCCTTATTTCAACGCGCCAGTGTACTTGGAAAATAAGGAGCAGATTGGCAAAGTAGATGAAATCTTCGGACAGCTAAGAGATTTTGTATCCTTCAAAAGCATGTATGATGTATAATATTTGTCTTTTAAAGCCTGATTATTAATGGAGTTGCTCTAGAATTTACAAGTAATTTAAGACTTAACTAGTTAAATGTAAATAGTGATAGATGTAACTGCAGTTGTCAGTAGATGTCTTATTCTAATGAGATACTTATCCTAAAATATTTGTGATATGACAAAATATGGGTACCTTGTCTCAGGTAGAGGTTTGCAATCAGCTAAGCCTGTAATATGTAAAGTACTGGCAGAAGTCTTCTGAGGTTGGGGGTTCAAGATGTTACTTTCCAAGATGCTACCTGGAATAGGTTATGAACCTGATAACTGGTTGGCCCAGGGAAGAGGGTGGTCTGTGCTTTAGGGCATCTTTCTTATTGTCCATCTTACTTCTTAAAGTAATTGTGAAAAGACATTATGCTAGTGTGTCCGCTTGTGAAGGAAGATAGCTGAGTCCAAGTTGGTGGGTCCCTTCTGTCATTACTGGTGGACTGACAGAATTCCTGACAGGAGAGAGAGAGAGGGAAACAACTACTAAAGTAAACTTACAGACAGTAAGGCTTAGTCTTTGTTGCGCAAGTGTTTGTAACCAGCTCAGCATGCTCCTGTCCTTTTCTAAATGTGAAGTAAAATGTGAAGATTTAAATCCCTGTCATGATCTGAATGTGTTAGAACACATATTTCATATGTGAAGTTGTGTTGATCACAGTTTCACTTTTTGTATCAGAATTATTTGAATTTCAGGAACTTTTTTTTTTTATTTTCCTCCTCCTGCTGTAGCATATTTAGAGACAACGGACTTGAGTGAATTTTTCAGCTTCTTGCTTCTCTATTTTAGTCTTCAGATTTTTTAAGTTGAGTTGGCCAGCTCTTTTTGAAAGCTGTTTAGCAAGCCTTGTATGCTTAAGAGCCACAGGATGGGCAAGGTTGTATGTGTACTCATGAAGACTCTGCTATTTTACCTGCAGGATGAGACTGGGCTGACTTACCTCTTTGCAGAAGCAGGCAGTTGTATCGGGCAAGATCTCTGCTAGCAGAGTCCTTGCATCATAGAATGCATCCAGATCATTCGGGAGGTATATTCAGGTCACCTTGGGAATTCAAGGGGGAGTTCTCTACTCTGGCAGTTATAGTTTTTTTTGTTTGTAATGATGTCTTTTTATATACTGCTAAAGTAGAAATTCCCTGAATTGTTTCTTTTATGTAAAGAATCTATTTCTAGTATTTTATTCATGATATGTTCCTTAAAGAAATTAATAGTATTTTTCAGTGAAACTGTCTGAGAACATGAAAGCCTCTTCATTTAAAAAAATGCAAAAGGTGAGCAGTTTTAATAGCAGAACTTTACTGTATGTCATCAGTTAGATAAAATGCTTTACAAATAGTTCTTATTGACATTAAAGGCTAATTGTCCTTTAAGTAATGAGTTACTTAAATTCATTTGAAAATGAAAACATTAGTTTTCGTTTACTTTTCCTTTTCCCTTCTTCATTTGCCTTGTTTTTATTTCTTGTTGAGGAGAAAAAAATTATAACTAGTGAAATTTCTAAAAAGTATTAAAAAAAAGATTTTTCATATTTGCATTGTGTTTATGTTGCTGTTTGCAATGGACAGTTTAACATAAAGACTCAATTGTGGATGTTTATGAAGGAATAAAAAGATATGGTTATGCTTGTAAGTCGTGATACTTTCAGAGACTAATGGAAATGTCTTTCTACAGTTTTATATTGATCCAGCAAAGCTACTACCCCTGCAGAGATTTTTGCCAAGGCCTCCTGGAGAAAAAGGTCCCCCTAGAGGAGGTGGTAGAGGAGGGCGTGGTGGTGGACGTGGAGGAGGAAGAGGCGGTGGTAGAGGTGGAGGTAAGATCCTTTGAATAAGATCTGCAAAATGCTTCTTTGGTAAAGTGCTTGCATAAAGAAGTATATTTTGAAGAAAAAAGTGGCACATGTTTCTTTTTCATATCTCAGTAGAGACAGTGACATCTTCCCAAAGGCGGGATTTGCAGCTCGTTCAGTAGTAGATTCAAAGTGTAGGAAAGAGAGTGMATTGGTTCAAAACCGAAATAGAATTAGCATAATTAAGAAAAAAATAGTGGCTATTAAGCAAATCTTTTGTATTAAGAAGTAATAGGTAGTGTACAATACAATGAAAACTGTTAGCAAAAGCTGCTATGTTTTGTTATACTTTAAACTTCTAGTTTGGACGCAAATACTTGAAATATATTGGTTGAAATAAAGGATTCATGACTCCTTCATCTCCACTGTTTACCTATTTGACACATCATCTGGGTTGTCTTCCTTGGTTTAAAAGTAAAGGTAATTCTTTCTTACGTTGAAGGTTTTCCCTTTTCCCCACCTTGTCCTTCTGTGTGCAGGGAGCAGAAAAAAATTCGACCGATCTCTTATACAAAGAGCCATAATAATATTTTTGCTCTCATAAGTTAGCATGGAGGTTTTATAAGGAAGAGATGACTTGGATGACTTGGCGGTGGGTGGGACTAGAGGACTAGGATGAAGCAGTGAACTTTTTTATTTTATTGAACTACTTCTTTCTGAAACTGTTAACAATTTTTTTTTAATGTATGTCAGAGTTTATAGACTCCTAGAACTGTAATTTCTTATCTATGTTCAGGAGGATTCAGAGGCGGAAGAGGTGGAGGAGGAGGATTCAGAGGTGGAAGAGGTGGAGGAGGAGGATTCAGAGGCGGAAGAGGTGGAGGAGGAGGATTCAGAGGTAAATGTACAGTTGTTTCATTTTGATAATAAAAGCAGGTCCTGCTAAACTTTTACCTATTGAACATAATGTAGAATTTTTCTTTCCATCTGCCTTATAAGGCTTTATAGACTATTTTTATGCAGAAAGTTTCTGTTCATCACAGTAGCTATCCTAAATGTAAGTTCAGTATTCCGTATGCTTACGAAATTCTAACTGCTGTCTCAAGAAGGCCTGTCAGAACAAATACGATACTGACTTTTATTTTACCAATTCAAACCATTATGTGTTTCATTCATTTGTTTTAAATGCAACTAAGACATGACTTGTTCAGTGTATTTTTCTTCCTCTTAAAATAGGGAGAGGATATTAAAAATGGAGCCACGAGAGTCTTCTTGCTGCCTTACCATGTGATCTGCAGAAATGAAGAACAAGATAAATTTTCTAGTGGACCCTGAAAAATTGTTTATAAAGGACTTGAAACTGTAAAATGACAGTGACTATTTATCAACATACAAGGACAATATAACCTCTGTTGAAGAACTGAAGACTGCTCAGAGTATACTTGAACTTTTTTACTAAGGCAAATTAATACTTAAACTGTTTCTTTCTTACAAACTATTTTTTATTAATGCTYGACTTCATGTTAGAGTTGGGAGTAAACAGTCCATTGGTTCTTTTTTATTATCTCCACAGATTCTTTAAATCTGTGAATCTGTTACCAATGTGTTACTGATCCCTTGTCCTCATCCTGTCTTTATGTTTAATCCACTGGATTGCTGTACAGTGAACATACCATTTAAACAATCTTTGCAACCTTCATCTACAAACTAAACTTCAAAATTTTGTGTTGATAGAACTTTGTTTTTATATCTAATGTACACAAGGAAAAGACAGTAACATAGGGTGCTTTATGGATTCTGCTGTATAAATCTGAATGAAAACAAACGCATCATGACATATTCTTCTTAGAAGCTGCTTCTGTTAATAATTTCAAGTTTAATCTGGTTCTTCTAAATCACCTAAGTAGTTGTGTCTAATTACACAAATACTGAAATTGTTTTGGGTTTTTCACAGCTTATCCTGTTTCTCTGACAATTTGATGTCCTGAGAAAAACACTGGAATGCACCCAGCTTGCCCAGATCTAAGGTCCTTAGGTCTTCTGCCCACATGATGTTAAGTACTCCCTAAAGACAAAGCCTGCACGAGTCTTCAACACAGACTCTGTTGCCCTTAGACTCATTATAAGGAGTGTTGAAAAGCTAGTAACTGTCTCTTGAGAATGGAGAAGGACAGGTTGCCTCTTTACTTTTTAGCTCTGGAGAGAGAATAAGAATGCAAAAAAAAAACAAATCTTTCCCTCCAAATTGCATCTCAAGTGGAGAGTCCTTCCGCAGAGTCTTTTTTTGAGAAGATCTGCAAAATAATATAAGTGTTTTGAGCATCTTTTTCAARTGCTCTAAATGTTCTGAAAGGGCTGTCTGAGGATCTCTATCTTTTTTTTTGCTTCTTTTTTTCTTTAAGAAGTAAGCACAGTGAAAATGAATTATGTTAACCTTCTACTTAAAGAAGAGAAATTGAAAAAAGCTAATTTACTGTCTGTACTGTTCTTGTCATTTTATCAAACTTGATTGCTCATTGTGAGTAATTCTTGGAACAAAACTTGAAACAAGCTGGAAAAACTATTCAAGAATTCAAATAGGAAGCCTAAACAGATATTGCTTGGGGTAACTCTTCTCTTRCAAAGAAAACATGGTCTGCTTTTATGAGAAGAAATAAGTACTGTTAACCACAGCAAAGTCAGCAATCAATGGATACAAGTTCTTTACCTGGTATTGTTTCAGACAACTTTATTCAGGACAACTAAATCCAGATTATTAAAGATGTTTATCGATTGTTTGCTACCATGCATTGCTAGGCCTAAACGATTTAGGACTGTGGCTTAATCTAGACAGAATCTTATGCAAACCATTGTATTTATTGTAAGCCACCTCTGGCACACTAAATTGCAGTCAAACAATATCAAGCTACAGTGAAGCCAGGCCTGTCTACTACATTCTATCATACTTGTAATTGCTGTACCCTCCATATTCCCGTTCTGATGCTCCAGTGCTGACTTGCGGGAAGCTGACCTGAGCATGTTCTTCTTCCTTTCAAAGATGGCACAATCTCTTGTACCCAGATTCAGTCTCTGTATAGCTGTGCTTACTGCATTCTTCAGAGACATACTTTTGCAGGTCTCCGAAGATTGCACTGTTATGGTCTTTCAATTGCCTCGCCTGACATCTGTCAGTGTTCACTTCTACCTTAGAAGTTTGAGCCTGGAACAAGAAGGCTGTGCTRCCTGCCTCTCAGCAGGTGGAGCTATGAGTCATAGTTAAGCCTGGAGCCCTTGCAAGGTCAAAGCAAAGACTTTAACATCTCCTTTACAAGGGGGTARGGAACTGTTTTGCCCATTGTAGCTCTAGGGGGAAGAGCTGTCTCTGATAATAGGAAACTGGACTATATTTTGTGGCTACTCAGTCCCAGCTTAGAAACATATGAGGTGCTTTACACTTGCAGATGATGTTGGATGAGAACAACACAGATATCTGGAGATGGTTTGTTATCTTGACTCCTTGTGGAGCTAAAGGGTCGTTCTGATGCAGATGGAAGAAAGTCCTCAATCACTAGGCCTGAAATAATCTACCATTTGAGGAAGCAGTGCACAGAGAGGTATGTTGGTGTCTGCCCTGTGGTGATKTCTGTTTTCCTCCCACCCCACCTAAGCTGCTGGGTAAGGATAGTTGTTTGACTGCAGTATGACCCATCTGGCYGCCTTTTGCACTGCCTTTTCTGTGTTGTGACCTGATTCTGCCCTCTTGATGTTAGTAGTTGTCAAGTGTAATAGAAACACACAAATGTAGCATCTTGTAAAACTTAAGGACAACTCTGACTTGTCTACTGTGTAATGTTACAGTGGACTAAAATACAGGTTCTCTTCTTTTAGAGATGGGCTTTTCTTCTCTCCCAAACTTTTTGTTGCTCTGCKGTAGTACTTTGAAGCTCAGGAGCAGGTAAGTTTTGTTGCTTTCCAGAGTGTTTTATTTCTGTACCTTGGACATACGAGCAATGTTGTCACCTTACTGTCTCCTTGTCCACTTGTCAGGTGAAGTTAGACTGTTAGCTGATTCTTAGCGCTTATTATTGATTAGATCAAAATAGGGAATAGTGCATGGGCACAATACACTGGTGCAGAGTTATTGGCAATTGTGAAAACATTGTCATGGCAGTAGAAGATGTTGCCTTAGAGAAGGCGTGGTTATGGCATGAATATGAAGCGTAACAAGTGGAAAAGCTTTTTGGGGCTCCTTGCATTTTTTTTTCTTCAGGTAGCTGAAAGTCTCTCTAGTTTACAGAGTCAAAATAACTAACAGTCTAAATTTAGAGACTATGAAAGGAGAAATATTAAATATAATTATTATTTTCTTCATTTTGTTGGAATCATTTTCATTTGTTGTGGAAATAGGATTAAAGAAAAGTGCTGCCCTCTAGTGCTGATATGTTTAATGTACAGGGAGGCTTTTAGAAAGTGTGTTTATGTTTATCACTTCTGGATTGAAATACACTTTTAAATACATATAACAGAGTTTAGTGAGCTGCAAACATTGCAGTTATAAATCGTGCATTGCCTAGTATGTATACAAATATCTGTGAAAAGAAGAATGGATTCAACTAGAAATTGGCTTTTCTTGCTACTGATCAGGGCCAGATGAAAAGGAAGAGCTCCATCATTTGAAATCACAAAACTTGCCTCTGACCTGAGTAGTACTGGTTCTTACTGGAGGGTAAAAAGAATTTGAGTTTCTGACTTTCCATATGCCAGTACTAGAAAGCAATAAGGGGTAAGTCATATTTTGCCTCGCTTAAGAACTGCTTAAGAACTTTGTGGATTGCTTGTAAACTTTAGTATTGATTTAATTATTTTGAAATATATTTTTTGTTTTGTTTTATAAATGTCAGTGTTCTAGAAAAAGCGTTACTGATGTATTTGTGATAAGTCATTTATGTCTTTAATTTTGACTTTTTATCTCAATTTCTGTCACTTAGAATTAGCCAAATTCAAGAGAAAAAAAGAGACAGAAACAGTGTAATGGTTCATAGAATAGACTGTGCATATTGAGAACTGACAAGTACTGACAAGTGTGAGACCTGTATGGTCTCATTAACCACACTAACTCCAAATTTGGCATTCTATCCAAATAAAACTAGAAATGCTTTGCTTTTATGTGCRTATAATGCTTGTATTATACTTTACAAGCTCTGATTTCTATGGAGGCTGCAAGATTTGAGGTTGATCTTGACAGAGTTTCAGAGGAAGAAAGCAGAGCTACCAAATTATCATTAAGCTTTTATCTTTCAAGGCAGGACTAGGCAAGTGGATACATTGTCAAACAGATCATCTTTCCTTTCAGAACACTCCTACCTAGTTCCTGCCTAATCCTTTTCTGACAGGATATGTTGAGTATGCTGAGAACCCTAAGAGTGAGTGTAGATACTGTGGGATTAAAAAAATGTTTGCTGGTAGAGCTGAGACACSTGATCTTGTGTCACAATGATGACTAAATGCCCTGACTGAATAAGTAATGTATCAAAATTTTCAGACCTTCAGATTCAAATGAGTAAAAGATATAAGATGTCTGTCTTGAAATGATGAGGAACAGGATTATGAGGAGCTGTAGGGATGTTTCATGGATGAAGATGGCAATAACTGTACAGATGTAGCCTCTTTTTATGGGATGTCTGTATTGCTTTCAAACTCCTGGTGTCACTAAAACCTCACTGCTGCTTCCAAGACACAGCCCTAGCCTGGGAGCCACATACAGCTTAAGAAGCACAAATTGCTCCTTCCTGTCACTTTTGTACCCTCTATAAGTATGAAACTGGAGGCAAACAACTGTATATAGGGGAACTGGTCGTATATATGTTTGATTACTTGCACTAATGCTGTCTGTATGGTCTTTGGATGAGGGTGTATTGCACCTAGTATTTATACTGGCTTTTGCAAAAGCTTTTTCAGTTTAACAGCTGTGTGCATATCATTATGAAGAAGAAAACAAGCTACTGCTTGGGGCTTTGGAAAGTAACCTAGCACTTTGCTGTACTGTGCAAGATTTAGGTGAAATTTTCCAATGCCAGCTTACCTATATGCATTTTAGAGAGAGGAAGAAAATTCAGATTTGTGAGGCATGTTCAATAGCTTGTTTTTTGCAGACCAGATTGTTTTTAAAAATGTAATTGGGTTTTTCAGTAATTACACTTCAGAAAAATACTGGACAGTGACTGGACTAGTCCAAGACTAGACTGTCTTGTCTGCTATTGTTAGAGAGCTGTAAAAAGAAGTAGGCCTCTTAAAATTTGAAAAGATGGATTTTAGAGTAAGCGTGTCCTGTTTTTTAGAGATTTTGTTTGTTTGTTTGTTTCTATGTTGTCCTGTGGTTGTGTTCTSTATGATGATTAGAATTAATTCCAAACCAGGCTAATGATCAACTGACCTGAGCCAGTTTTCTCTGAAAACATTGCACAAGAAGTTTGAAGTAAAGAGTTTGGGGGCATGTGACAGCTAATCTCTTTAGCAGTAAGAATGAAGTTTAAGCATCCTGTTGGAAATGTACTCTGCTCTGTTCTGCTCTTTGTTGTAATTAACAGGCTTTCCTCTTGCATAGATTGGGAGTGTAAACTTCTTTGCAATTTAGTCCAATTAAATCTTGCTTGGAGATCGTCAGTGGAAACAGGTCTCCCCCCTCTCCCCCACCCCTGGCTTTTTTTTTTAATTGTTCATTGAGTCTGTTGCATAATGAAAGAATTGGCCTGACCGTTTTGTAGTGTTTGTCTGCTTGATGAATTACCAGGGAGGCTAGAGCACAGTCTTTTTTGTCGAGCATGCTTTGGAATGGTTCGGCCAACTCCTCTGAGAGTGACAATGAAGCTCATTCAGCCTTTACACAGACTGAGCACAACATAGTTGCAGCTTACTTAATAACAGCAGGTATGGGCACTAGCAGTTTGGTGCATTTCTTCTCTTAAACAGAACTGTATATTTGAATGCTTGTTTTGTATGGTAACAAGGACATTTCATTATGTATTATGCAAATATCTAATGGCTTTTCCTGGTAGTTCACTGACAACTCGCTGATCAGCACACTGAAGTGTGCAGAACTATTATGTTTTTTGCTGTATAGTTGAAGGCAGTGTGGTGCGTTGAAAAACATAGTTTGTTGATATGTAATTATAGAAGAGAGTGAGAATTTATTTCTGCCAGCTTGCAAAAGAGATAAAAATAGGACATAGCTGCCACAGCTTGCATTTTTCTGTGATGTGCTTGAAGCTATCTTGAGATTTCTCTTGGACCACATGTTCATAATATATGTGTAGTCTGAGCATGTGAGTGGGTGTCTGTTAGGGGGATGTAAGGGGAAGGCTTGGAATGAGGCTTGGAGGGAGCTGGTCATTAATCAGAGAGAAGAGCTGACTCYGGTAGCACTTGTGCTTTTCACTGGTGACACGCATTAGAAAAAGCATGCTGGAAGGCTTGACGTCGTGTATTCCCTTCCACTGTAATGGCCTAAGGCTGAGGCTGGCATCGTTATGGAGTAATATTGTCCTGAAAACTTTCCCCTTTGGAATTCCTTGTTTTGTTTTTGAAGCATTGTTTGCTACCAGAGAAATATCTTGAAATAAAAACTATAAGCTGCTGTGTTTAAAAATGGGCCTTCTATATCTTTTCAAAATTAAAATCTATTTATAGATACTTTATTGATAGACTATATCCTTCACTTAGGGCACTTTTTCTGTGTTAGAACTGGCTTGTGAAATACCAGCAAATACTAATCTGCTTAAGGCGTATAGATAATAATACTGATGATGTTACTTCGGACAGCTGCCTTAAATAAAATGTGCATATCAAGTCTTCTAATAGAGGGGGTATTTTTGAATGCAAAACCAATGAGTTAATTCAGGTTTTTAGGGAAGTTTGTGTTGTTGGCCAAATACCAGTTGCTGGACTTGCTGAGAAGCTGTAGAGCTGTTTTCTGAGAAGGAAGGCATTGTTAAAGCATTGCTTTCTGTAGTGATCAGTGTATCATTTTAGTGATCGCTGCAGGGACACTCAGGCTGCAGGAAGCAGTGCTGCTTTGCTGATAGCCTTCAGCTTGTAATGAAGTACTCCGGAATATCTTTAAAATGCTTTCTGGAATAGTAGATTTCCTATTATAAATAGATTTAACTTGTACTGCACAGTTTTAGTGCTACTATCAATGTCTTCTACCTTATTAAGACTTGTGTTTTCATTTGGACTTCTTTAGTTTCCTTTGCTTCCCTAGGAAGATGAAAAATAAGAAACTTTTCTGTTCTTGATCAGGGCATACATAAGGATTTTGTCTTGATCTTGTCTGCTAATGGAACCAGGAACTCTTTTCAGCTCTACTGTGAATTTGTTTTGGTTGTGCTGATATCTTTACTGAATAACTTTTTTTTTTTAAACATTGGATTCTGAAACACAAAATTCAAGTGGAGTTAACTGGATCTTCCTTTGGCCTGGGGTTATGTGTTTATAGTCCTGTCAGATTCCTGTTTTCATTCCTGGTATATGCAATAACTACATGTACCATAGGAAGCTCGTACTACTGTATAGACTTGTAATTCTAGCAGCAGTCTATAGCATCAGTTTCACTCCTAAAATGTGTGCAGTGTGATAGTTGCTGATGTGCATGGAGCTGGGCACCATCCAACATCTTTTTCTTTGTAGTGCAATTTCTGTGTGCTGTGCAGGTGTTTTGAAAACTCCCAAGCTTCTCTGTTCACAGGTAAAAGAAAATRCAAGACATCTGAAAGTGATTTTTCCTCATTTGATTTTAAGATTATCAGTCTGTTTCTTTAATATAGGAGAACGGTATTGATAAAAGAAGCATTGTAGTGAAACTTCTCACTGCAGGTGAGGTACGGGTATTATAAAATCTGTAGTAATGCCCCTAATTGAAATTGAACTTTATTTCACAGCTGCAAGATTGGTATTATCGCTAGCATTGGTATTTTCTTTGTTTTATATTTTTAGATGTTAMTAAAATCACATTGGTTTCTCTTGTGACCGCTTTCACATCAGGTTCACATGGTTCTTGATGAACATAGTGGTTCAGATAAAGAAATGGTACTGAGGTAGCATTTACATTTTTAGCGCTGCATTTGGGGTGACAATTGGCTTAAACTATTTACAGATTAACCTCTTCACATCTGTAATGCTGAAAGATATAGTTCATAGTTGAAGCTTTTCAACTATAAAACTGAAAAAATGTGGAYGGCATTTCCATGGATAATGTAATTTCATATGTCCAAGTTATGCAGATGTTTTTATGATTTGAAGCAGTATTATTGTACCAGCTGTGTTGATCTAGGGAATATATGACCACTTTGCCAGTTTTTGTCATTATTTACAAGTTGTTTTTAAAGTAATTTTCTGCATTTTCTCAAAAATGTTGAAATTCTCCCTTTTGTTGATAAAGGCTGCAGCCACTTCTTAACTGAGATGCAAAGGGACGTGTTTATCTTCAGTGGTCCTTACTGCTTTTGTTTGTCATGGGGGACTTCTTATTGCTGATACTAATAGGAGTCTGGGAGATGGGATTCTGCTCCAGATATTTCTGCAATGAACTAGGGTTTGAAGAGAACAAAAAAGAAAAAATGTGACAGAACAGTCCTTTGAGGGTGCCATGCATACTGCAGTGTAGTAAGATTTGCTCAGAAAGGAGGAAGAGCCAGAGAAGGGGAAGAGGGAGAGGTTTTCAGGTAGGTCATCAGGTTTAAAAAAAGCTTGCTGGTGAAAAGAATCTAAAGAGGAGAGTCTTCGGTGTCTCATAAGGCACTATTAAGTCCCAAGCAAATTCCAGAGAGTTGGATTTGAAGAGGTGAATGTACGTGTTACAGTTAAAACTATTTGTGGCATCTCTTTATTTGGACTACTAGGTATTTCTTGTATTACTTAAGAAGACTTGCAAGGAACAGTTTACACACACTTTTTGCTGCCTCTACTGCATCTATTTTAATTGTCAAAGCACTTGCCATGCTGGGTTCTTAGGAAGTCTTGTGTTTAAGTTTCTGGGCTGCAGTTTCTGTGGGSTCGGGAGTTCCAGTCCTAAAAGATAGGAAATACTAAAGTGYGCCAAAGATGCGAAAAACAACATAGTCAACCAAGCCAGCCCAGAGCARCTTAAAAATTCACAGTTCAGTTAARCAGGTGCATCTTCAGTGCACAGCTGGACTTTTAGCATAGCTGTGAATAGTCATGAAGTTTGGAGCCATAGAGCAGGGCAACTTGACAGGTCTTCATGCTTGAGAAAATACACAGTTTGCAAGAACATGAGTCARCTTCGTAAAGAATTGGACCTTCGTGAACAAAGAGAGGAGTAGTCTGCGTTGGATGTAGGCAAGGTCAAAGGATAACAGTTTATTTTTCCAATATTCCCTTTACCTAGAAATAAATACTGCTTTTACCTGAATGCACAGTGTAAAATCTGAGAGAAAGGAGGAAATGAAGTGGTGGCAGAGGGGCTTTGGCTAGACCTAGTGAATCTGTGTAATAGGCCAGTAAACCTGCTTTTTATCAGCTCGCTGACCTACATCCTTTTTGGGCACATAGGCAGAAGTGGCTAGAAATATCAGTGGCTGCAATTTCTAATTTGTAATCCTAAATTCTTCTGAATGTTTGCTCTTCTTGTTGCCATCACTTAGAAAGTCCGAAGATCAACTAAATAACCTACTAGCACCTTAAGCCTTTACAAAATCAAAGTGCAGGTTCTCTAATTAGTTAGTATCAGAACTTCTCCCTTTCTTTGATGTCTTTTGTCTTTATTAAATTGTATACGATTGAAAAATTAAGCTTTTTCTGGACTCAGATATTACCGTAACCTGCATTGTATTTTGGATGCATATTGCTGGCTTGCCTGCGTATTTTGTTAAATTCCTCTTTCTCTCTGTTTCTACAGGAGTGGTAAGCATTTTCAGTAACATTGTTGTGTTAGGCATCTTTGTTAAGTACAAAGAACTTCGGACAGCAACCAATGCAATTATTATCAACTTGGCTTTTACTGACATTGGTGTTAGTGGCATTGGTTACCCCATGTCTGCTGCCTCAGACCTACATGGAAGTTGGAAATTTGGATATACTGGATGCCAGGTATTTCATTTCATTTAGGAAGCAAGTCTTAAACACATAAAAGCAAACCAACGGTCTTATTTAATATTTTGTTCTTTTTACAGATGAGGTGGAGGTGCCACATTTGACTCTAGACCTGAAACTAATTTTCTTTAAAGTCAGCATTTTGGAAGAGATGATTTAGTTTGGATTTTACTGGATTTTACAATAAATAAATTGGATTTTACAATAAATTTATTGTTTAAAATCTAAAAATACTGAAATATATAACTTTATACTTATTAACTTAGGATTTTAAAATGAAATTAAAATATTTAAAACCTTTAAAATGAAATGAAAAATGAAATCCACAAATAAATTGTTTCTAAAACAGTTTTCTACTTCTTAATAGACTGGTGAGCTTAAGAGACCAGAAAAATAAGTAAATGTTACTCAAGGAAAGTAACACGATAGATTTTTGGTCCTGTATATGATAATGGGTGGTTATAACATTTGTGATCGCACAGTTATGTTGAGCTAACAAATCAGCTATTTTTTTGATTGGAAGCCTGACTTTAATAACACTTATCTAGCGTGACTCTCCCTTTGTGGGCTGAAGCTAATGTGAAATCTCACTAGCAGTGCTTTGGGAGCTCTTACGATCACATGAAACACAGCTCAGGTCAACCTAAAAGAAAATTCTGTGAAATGAGCCAGCATAGTGTCACATGTTTCCCTTATGGCATGTGATGTGGCACAAGGGTCTGTATGTGGTTATGCCAGTAACAGCATAGCCCTTCTGGTCACCATTCCTGCTGAGGTTTTCTAGGGGGCAATGAGCAGGTGGTTTTGGCTCATGCTGGCATTTCAGCCCGCATGCAGTACAATCATTTGTGCACTACCAAGACATCTGGCACCATGTAAAAATGGAAGAAAGGGGGGAAAATGATTGGCAAAGAAGGGTAGCTGTATGACAGATGAAAGAGTGACCATTTGGAACCCTTCTTTTTATAAAGCTATACCYAATATAACTTTTTGTGATGAAGGAAATGTAGTTGATGTTTATTTAACATTTTTTAAGAATTCATTGAAAACATTAATTGAAAAAACCCACAAACTCCAAACCTTCTATCTATGAATCTCAGATTTTTCATCAAATATGTCATTTCTTTACTTTTTTTTGGCTGTCTTTAGGGTTTCTGATATACCTGCAAGCAAGTCACTTTTAAAATGTTTGTTTTAAAATTGGCTAGCTCTAAGTTGCTTGCACTRAATTATTTAATTCAGTATTATGCTAATAGAGAACACAGACCACGTGGTTGTAGACAACATGTTTATTTGTTCAAATTCAGCCCACAAACTTGTGTTTATACCTTTGAAAAATTTCTCAGAATTTTTTTCTTTTTTTTCAGATCTATGCTGCCTTAAATATCTTTTTTGGAATGGCAAGTATTGGTTTGCTTACTGTTGTTGCAGTTGACCGTTATCTAACTATCTGCAGACCTGATATAGGTACTGTATTCTTGATCCCAAAACATTCACTGTAGGGGCACTGTGAACTATCATTCTAATTGTATTGTCTTCATAAGAATGTGTCATTCAAGGACTGGGCRTACTTTTAAGTTGGGGCATGATCCTGCAGTGTTTCACCGTCTGGTTAAGTGTATAATCTAGTTATGTGAATGATACTGCTTTTGCAGGTGAAAATTGCAGATTTGGGCTGCAGTTCTGCCTTTATTTTCACCCCCAGTCAGTTTCCAAACTGTATCTGCTCTATCCAGYTTACTAGAAGGCCCCACCCATATGTAAAAATGTAGCAGAAGCTTTSGTCTGTGGGATTTTTCTGAGAGGTGCTAAGCCAATGTGTTAGCACCATACTGGATTTTATTCATTCACAGCATACAGCTGTAATTTCATTCCTCTTTTTTTCTCTTTCTTTCCAACAAACACAAAGATGCTTATTCTTGAATGTACTGGGTTTAGAATCAGGTTTTGTCATTATGCTTAGAGTTGGGATATATTATGATGTAGGTGATGGTATAAAGTGCATTTGAGCTGGAAAACTTGATTTTATCATCAGAAGTGTGAAATGGGCATGTTATAATGTTTGGTAGTGTAGTCCTCTGAAAGAATTAATCTGAACCATTACTATGGTTCAACGAAAGATGAGACCAGTTTGTAATTGTGTGTGCTTGATTATAGGAAGGAGAATGACTACCCGTAACTATGCCACTCTAATCCTTGCTGCTTGGACAAATGCAGTCTTTTGGGCCTCCATGCCTGCTGTAGGCTGGGCCAGCTACGCTCCTGATCCAACTGGAGCAACGTGCACAGTAAACTGGAGGAAAAATGATGCGTAAGATTTGCCCCTCTCTCTGTTTCTTAAATTTGCTGTCTTGCTGAAGTTTAAAAATATTTAATTCATTGCTATGGGACTAACATTTCCTCTCTAAAGTAGGAGCCACAATTGTAGAAAAAWAAAATCAAAAAGCATGGTAATAATGCAGAGCAAGTCTAGGGAAAATAAATGTCTCATGGCCACTGTCAAAAACCCATGCTAAGGAAAATCTTCCTGATTTTTAAAGTACTTTTTAAATTTCATAATCAAATCAAAATACTGAATTTTTCGATAACTTTTTATGGATGGATAGTTGTAATTCACTTTTTTTTTTTTGTCTTATTAGGTCATTTATTTCCTACACAATGAGTGTAATTGCTGTTAATTTTGTTGTACCCTTAACAGTCATGTTTTACTGTTACTACAATGTTTCCCAGACGATGAAACAATATGCAGCCAATAACTGCTCAGAGAGCCTCAATATAGACTGGTCTGACCAAGCAGATGTAACAAAGGTATGGCAAATGAAGGCTGTTCCTTTTTAAGCATGTTCTTTTGTGTCAAAATCTGGAGACAGAGGAGCAATTCAGCTTGTTAAGCATTTTTTTCTACATTTCTCCCTTCTTCTTGCTTACTAAATATTAACATAAGTTAGCCAGGATGAAAATTTTTAACTTTATTTTGTATAACACTAGATTGATTACTTTCAGAATATTACCCTTTCCATAGCTTGGGAAATGTATACAAATAACTACATTGACGGCCAGGAATAACACAGATATTCCCTGCTTTTCTGCTCCTTCATGACATAGAAATGTAAGTCGGAGAAATCCTAGGAGAATTCTCTAAAATATTTTTACTCCTTGTGTCTGTGGAGTTTTAGGTTTTCCTGCTAGGTTCATGGATGTACCTTATCAGATATTTTTTGATCAGSTCTTGTCTAAACTCATGACCTAGGCATGAAAGGGCAATGCCCTGTTTGACAATTAGTAAATTGAATCACAATCAACTTAAGATATAAATAGTATCCTCTAGAATTGGACTGCTTGCTTTTTTTTCACAAATTAGTGGTTTTTTTAAGTCTTCTAGGCACCAAAGGTGAACTTCTAAGCAAAGATGTTCCTTTGTGTAATAAATATATTTTTAAGAGGTACTGCTTTTGTATTTATGTAGGAATCTTCTCTATAGGGAGTCATAGATTGTTTATTGGTTATGAATCAGAGCAGCTCTCCTTTCTAGTCTTGCTTGTCACTGCAGAAAAGAATATGGGCACAAGTAGTGTGTTATTTCTGGGTTATTTGACTTTTTATAGGTATATTTTCACACAAGTGTATACATATAGGTTAGGCTGTGAGGGTGTTCATCTGCGTGTAATACAGATAACAGATAATACGTAACACAGTTATGTGTGTGTTCCTCTTGTTTACAGATGTCTGTTGTGATGATTGTGATGTTTTTGGTGGCATGGTCTCCATATTCCATTGTGTGTTTGTGGTCTTCCTTTGGAGACCCAAAGAAAATTTCTCCTGCAATGGCCATCATAGCTCCTCTGTTTGCAAAGTCTTCCACATTCTACAATCCTTGCATTTATGTAGTTGCAAACAAGAAGTAAGTGGTCTTAATTTTGAACTATGAGTTCCAGTCTACTTAATCTCTGGGCTTAAAGAAATTGTTTGGATCAGCTTCAGAAAATTCTAAATTAATTAATTTTTTGATAACATGCTAATGACGCTTTTTATTAAATCTCTTTGAAAACTATTTTTTGGTTTATCGTGAGAGACTGATCATGCAGTTTGCATTGCATCAATGATAGATTGGTTGTTTTTAATGTCTGTGGTCAAAGTATGACATGACTTAGTGACTTTTAACTTGTGGGTTTTTTGGCTTAATTTGAGTTTTGTTCTAGTCTGACTTGCTTCAACTGGATTGATGCTTTTCCTTAAAATGAGCAAGTCAAGCTTTTTTATTGATGAAGTTTTGCTAATCAGGGTCATAGTACTCATAGCCAGCTCAGCTGCTTTGTTTTTGTCTCTTGGACTAACAGTTTGTGCCTTCCATTTTTTTGTCCTGTGTAGGTTTCGGAGGGCAATCCTGGCAATGGTACGATGTCAGAGACGACAAGAGATAACTATAAACAATGTCTTGCCCATGAGTGTATCTCAGAACGCACTGACATCGTAAAACTTCCTTCATTTGCCTGCATATGTTGAATGGAAAGGAGTCAAACCTGGGTTACAGTTATTTGTTTGGTACAGTAATCTGCCTCATCCAGCTAGCTGTTTTCTGCTAATCACAGTTACGTTTTAGATCGTTTAAAAAGAAAAAGGAAAAAAGTTTAGACTTAGTTTCAGGGAATGAGGCTGAATGGCCTAGTATGCCTGCTCCAAACAAAGGAGGTCAGTGAAATCTTCTTTGGACTCTTGGACAAGATGAGGTAGGGGCTGGGACAGACTATAGCAGGAAATGATGAGCTTCAGTAAGAAAGGTTTTACTCCTCTATTTTCTTTTGGCTTTCAATAATTGGGATTCTGCATTTGTATGTGTATGAAAGTATGCATATAGATGTATAACATATATAGCTAAAACTTCATTTCCAAATTGACATGCCTTGCAAAGTTCTATTTCAGTAAATATGTTAAGGTACCAGAATATCTAACCAAGCCTTATTTCTTGTCAGCTTTAAGGATTTTGCAAGGGGCTGGTGATAGTTAATGAATTTTTAAAATCTTGGGTCACAGAATCAAAAGGACTTGTGTGAAAGGCAGTCTCTACTTTAGTATTAATATATTCCTACTGTTTGTGTCTGACCAAGTCATGAAAATGAGACAAACAGGAATCTAAAACTATATATACAAAAGGCACATGCAACTGAGTAAATATTTATGATGCTTTCTCATCATTTCCAAGTTAATCTCATGGTTATATAGGTCTGCTGTGTAACTTTCAAAGAAGGATTTTTATCATCAGGAGTAGCTGTTCAGACTAGAAGCAATGACTGTGTATAGATCTATGTGCGGATGGTAGCCTGAGCACTCTTGATTATTCTCAGGTTATCTTCTCGCTTGCGAATCCAAAGTCTCAGTGATCCTTCAGACAAAGTTAATCCATTGTGACTTTATACAGCTAAAGCTACTCAGCTCTCTGTATTTTCTTTTAAGATCTCTAATGTCTGTCTGAAGGGATACCACTCTTAAGTAGTACTGTCACTTTGCAATATGAAATGTTTAACTTTATCTACATCAAATGTAAAAAAGCAAAATCAAGTAATAGAGTTGGTTTTGAGAAATCCACAGGTGCTGGGAAAATAAATCATTTAGAATATGTATTTTAAGCCTGACTCTGTGAGATTGAGTATGATTTGCACCAGCAAAGAGTTTATTTTTGTGGCTCTATTGTAATATTATTAATACTAAAGCGATACATGGAAATATCTGATGTTTGGCTTTGCAGGAAGTAGCTGTTACTTAAAATATGCATGGTTTTGGTAAAACTTCTTAAAATAGATTTTTTAAAATATAACCTTATTAATAATTTGTCATTTTTAGTATTAAAGTAGCTGTCATGCAGTATCCTCTTGTGAGAATATTTTCTAGTGCTGTGTCAATATACTTCTGCAATAGATTTTCTTCAAGGACCTTAGAATACCTTATGGATGTTAGTGAATACACTGGCCCTCAGAAGTAGCAAAGAGATGTTTTACCGTGGACTACCTTTACAGTCATAGCTGCATATTAAAATAGTCTTGAAACGTGTTACATGTAATTTGGAGCGGAATGTATTATTCTTCTGACACAACAAAGAACAGACTGGTTTAGCTGATGCCTTTCAGGATACGTTTGAAGGTTAAGTAACTACAGATCTTGGCTAATCTGATGTAATCTGCTGTTACTAAATGGATGTCTACATTCACATTTGTAGCACACAGCACATGAGCACCCGAGAATAAAGCTTTCAAGTTTGTTCGTATTGTTTTGTTTTTTTTTTCTGTGAAGAAACTATGTATCTGTTTACATGCTTATACCTCATAATGCGCTTTTTTGAAGAAGTAAGTGGTTTTTGTCCTTCRCAATGCACTTGCATTTACCATGGCAGAAGTGATGGCACTGGAACAAGGTATACATTTTATTATTTTTTTGTTTAAGGCAATGTATAAGGGAGAGGGCTGAGGAAATTGAAAGTAGGATCTTCTGGGATGTTGCAAACTTCAGTTTATCATGGTTGCTTAGGAATAGTGGCATATTTTTTACCACATGGCTAGCAGCGTTCCTGGTAGGAGCAGATGGTGACGATGCTTTGTTTTAATGACTTTGTATTTAGTTGCTAGTTACTATTAATCATCTTTTTTTTTTTTTTTTATTTTAAACATGGAAGACTACTCCTAATTTGACATTCTGTATTGTGCCAATAATATTAAGTAAAGTAGTAGTATTTACATTAAAATTTTAAATACAAGTTTCTGATAATGCAGTATAGATCTCTCTCTTTTTTTGATGCCAGGTCTGTGCTCTGTAATGATCCTGATATGTTTGAGATCCCCGTGAATGTTCCTGTGGATACTGTAAAACTTCGTATAGAAAAAACTGTTGTACGAAGGATCCCAACAGAAGCCTTTTACTATTTAGTAGATCTCAAATACTTGTGGCTAACTTACAACTGCGTAGCCAACATTGATACCAGCAGTTTTTATAATTTGAAACAACTGCATGAGTTACGGTTGGATGGTAACCTGCTCTCAACTTTCCCATGGGAATCCCTGGCAGAGATGCCCAACCTACGGACCCTAGATTTACATAACAATAAAGTGACCAGCATTCCAGCGGATGCCGGCAAGTACCTGAGAAGACTCTCCTACCTGGACATATCCAGCAACAAGCTAACTACCCTGCCATCAGACTTAATGGACATTTGGCCCCTTTTCTCAGAAGCTTCCTCGTCCAAGAACAGGGACAGTCTGGCAGCACAGAGAGTAATTTTAGGTATGTTCAGGAACCTGCCTCATTTAAAAAGTATGTAAATATTAACTTGMAAAGTAAAGCAGGTCGGATACTAGCCTGGGATTTGGGAGAGTGGCTTTTAATCCTGTATATGCTCCTGATTTTCTCTCTGATACTTATTTATAGTATTTTTTGTCCTCCTGGTGTCAATTCTGAAATGAATATAGTAGCTTCAATATGTTGCTATTTCACTTTTATAACCCTGAGGGAAAAAAGCTAATGGGTTCCCATCTCTGTGAATATGGACCATAAGGAATATTGAGTGTTTAGATGAATGCCAAATTTACAAGAATTGTATTTCTGATGACATTTCCTTCATCAGTGAATGTGTATGCTCGCAAACATAAGCATGTCTTCTTAGTGCCTCACAAACCACATGATTCGGGTCAATACATTTATGAAAGTTTCTCTGAAATACACTATTGCAGACTGTATTGTTGGTTCAAAAGAGGACAAATTTCCCTCGAACTCATGTTGACTTTGCATTGCTTAAGCTGASTAGTTATCCTGATATTTTTCTCCAATTTACATGATGAAAAATAAGGGGAAAAGTAGAACTCTGGTACCTAAGCTTTTACAGCACTTTTTGTAATCATTAAGATAAGCACTTAAGACTAGTGTATCTACATTCTTGTTTTTCATAATTCTATTTCAAATCTCTCTAGTTTTTATTAGACCACTATGTCAGTTCTCCTTGTGACTGTTCTTTTTTTCTTTCCACTTTCTTTACAAGTTCTCATTTTTGAGGTACMCTCTCTGTGATTTCAGAGTGTTCATGGAGTAGCTCTATCAATAGCTCTCTTTTCTGTCACTTTTTTTTCTCTCTCGTGTATGTGTGTGTTTTGCCATATTTTAGTGCAGTGTAGCAGGTGGAAGAGGAGAAAACCAGGAGCAGGTGAACAACTGGCTCTGCCTAAACTAACTACAGGAATTCTGTACCCACTGGTGAAGCTCTGCCTTGCATTTACACTGCCCACTATTTCTAGCTTCTTGGTCTAAAGCCAGTATTCAGTGTTCCTCTGTTCAGCTGCTTTGTTTTGCAGCAGAAGTTGCAATCTGAAACTCATTCTGATGAGAATGTAAGTAACTTAATAATGCAAGTGAACTGACCATACTCCTCACATGCATGGTAGGTATAGGTTTGCACTATTAAAATGATCTTGGTTTTCATTTCATTACAAAAATGCTGGAAAAGTAAATCTAACTCTGTACCCCTTTCCCTGTTGCCAGGCTATAACAGGGGGCAAAGTAGGAGCTGACTGTGCTAGATTTAATCCTCCTGAGGATCTCCTTACATTAGTGTCCCAGTGTTATTTGGTTTTGCTCACTTTATACTGCCCTCAATACTTAAATAAGTAAATAAATAAAAATCTGTAGGCTTTATTGTTACAAGCACTTTGCCAACCTCCTTTAGTCCCACCAAACTCTGTGGTACCCCTTTATTCTATAGAGTTAGGATGGGACCTTTGGATCATTTTTGTTTATGAACTAAAATGGGGTTTGAACACAGACCTCCAGGAGGAAAGCATGCAAGTTTCAAACAGCACTTTGATTTTCCTTTTCTTAAGTAGGCTCTGTGCAGTAGTTATGGAATTTGGATTTTCAGATTCAAATCTTAGTAGTTTCATTGTAGTGGGTTGAAATCTGCCTTTCAGCTGTGGATAATTTGCTTAAACTTTCATTCATACATGTCACGGCCCTCTTGTGACTAAAAAAGTGAAAATGTGTCTCTAACACTTCAGCCACAGAAGATGTTGACTTAAAAGACAGGCATAAGGTATGCTCTGCAGCAGTGTTTTCTCTGTCTKTGATTGCTGGAGCCTGAGGGAGGAGAGTCCTACCCCAGAGATACTAGTTTCCATCTCAAAGGAGGAGGAGAGCATCGCAGAAGTAGATCAGAAAGAATTTTACAGTTCTTCCATCTTGTGCTGCTGTTGGGGTGCGCRTCCACACGGCCTGAACCCTTCCTACTATTTGGCTAAGCTGTTCCTGTTCTTAAAACCTGCAGGAAAGCCATTCCATAGCCTTGCTGGTAGCCTTATCCAGTGCTTATCTGTCAGTAGAGTGAGAAAGTTTCTCTTAATATCTAGCCGCAATCTACCTTACTGCAGACTAAGCTGATTACCTCTTGTCCTACATGAGACGGACATGAACAGAACAACAAATTATTATCTCTTAGAGCAACCTTTCAAATCTTGAAAGATCATTGTATTTTTCTTTCTGTTTGACTGCCTTCTTTGTTACCTATTTGAACCATTTCATTCACCCATTTCTTACAGAGCACGTGTATGTATAGTCTGGGGTTTTTCCTGTCTGTTTTCCTCCATTTCCTACACCATTTACTGATTCTTTTTTGTTCCTTTTGTGTTTTAAAAAATGATGCCTAGAATTGCACACAGCCACTCTGGTACTCAGGAATGTCCTCTACCCTGCTGCTGTTCACATTGGGAGTGTTCAGTCCGGCCCACTTGCCTACATGAAAGGGTAACTGCAGCCAGAGCACTGCCAGGTGCTGGAAGCCAGAGCACAGAAATATGGATTTTGTATTGTCAGTAAAATTCAGATTCTATTTAGTGCAAGCAATTATAGCTTGAACTAGCTCGTTTCCTATTCTGGCAAAACAAGCTTGTCACTGTGTTTAATTAATGGCATCAGTAGCAACAAAGTGCCAAACTTGGATTACTGTGCATATATGTTTTTTATTTTTCCATGTATACATGTATATGTTTGTGTATGTATATATTTAACACTAGCAAGGATTTTTGTCTGCAGTATCTTGAATTTCAAGAGAGCTGCACGTTAGAGAAAGTTCAGGTTCTCCCTGTTCACTCTGTCTTGTGGAAGCCCCAGGCTGGTGACTGACAAACTGACAAACTAGCATCTCCTTATGTCAGTTCATAGGAGTATGAAGGTGCAGAACCTGCTGTGCGTGTGTTGGAGGAATGAACAGAGTAGAAGAGCAGTCCTTGCCATCGGCTGCTGGTCCGTCCTTTAGGGAGTCCCTGGAGTGAGTGTCCTTGGAGCTGTGTCTGACCTTGTCTCAGAGGGAGCTCTTCGAAATGCTTCAAAACAAAGCTGTGCAAGGGCTGACATGCAGCAGAATTAAGTTTGGGAATTGAGCCTCTGGGCCTCTCTTCATGAGCCCTGGAGCTATACCCTAGTACTTTTGTCCAAAACACAGACAAACTTCAGCAATGGCTGCAGTGTAAAAGCTCAAATTTCTAGCTTGAATGACGGTAGTAGCATTTTCCGTATGAAAAATACATCTAGCGAGTCTGAGAATGATGAAGAAATCTCACATTTCAGAGTGGCTGTTAGACAAAATCTTGCCTCTGTTGCCTCTATACATGCCAAGAATTTGAAATGCAGAAGGACCCATCAAGCTTCTACTAGTTATGCTGAGTGGTGAGGCAGATAGCTACTGCTTTTCTTGAACCTACTCCCCAGTGAAAACATAGTAGGTGTACCCTATGTAGGAAGCACAGGGAAGCATTGGGAGACAAGGACTTTACGGTTTAGAACCATGGATTAGAAATCTCGTGGCTTCATGTTATTGCCATTTTACTGCAGGTGGAAAAATAGATACTTGTGTTTGTGAATGTATGTTTGGTATTTACAGCATATCTCTCTCTCTCTCTCTCTTTTTTTTTTTYCTCGMTGATGAAAAGCAGTTTCTCCTTAGTTTTCTTGGTGTCTCCCCTTATGTTGTTAAGGGCAACATGTAGCGAACAGATGCAAAGTCTCTTAGGCCTGAAAGGGTAAAATGGGATTGTGATGTCAGGCGTGGAATCCCTTCAGGTCATGTCTTGTTTTAAAGAGTGGGGATTAATCAGGCTTTATCATTGCTATAACCAATCACCGTCATTGTGCTTAAAATAACCTATTTCTGGTCAAGCAGTAAAAGACAATAGTAACTACTTATTCATGTACTTTTATATCTTTAGACTTCTTCCAAAATGAAAAGTTGAGATTGCTGATACAGAATTTTTCCATTAGTTGATTTAATAACTACTAAAAATACATCACCTACTGAACTGTATTTACAGATGTTTCATGTGTTTTATTTTTCTCTATGTTGGAATTTAACTAATGACTTCTTTGTTGTACTAATCAGTATATGCAAGGATGAGGGGTTCTGGTGGTCACTTCTAGCATATCATTCATCATTTCACTTGAATTTCTGTTTATTGTTAATACTCAAAGAAAATGAAAAAGGTGTACAATGGTGTAAGTCAAATGATCAAATGAGTGATAAACTGTGTGCCGTTCTACCAGATAAAGTGAATGTTGCCCTGTTGAATTAAGCAKAGCAAAATAATTGGCACTAGCTGAGGCTTCAGACTTAAGCTTTTCAGAAGTGTCCTCTATTTCACTACAGTCATTCACCAAGACTGAGAAGTCTCTCATTCAGAGACTTTGGAATCAAGAAGGAAATATTGTGTCTGACAGAAAGACATGAAGTTATAACCATAAAAAAGTTATAAGCTTTTTTTGATCCTTTCTGTTTTCTTCTCTTTTTAAATTTTTTTTACTTTATTTTTTATTGCATCACAAAGACTGTCCAAAATTCTATACCATCAGTTTTAAGAGGTCTTTTCAGAGTGCTTTTTTCCTTAGATAAATAACACTTTAACAAAGTAAGGCTTTTTTACTAATAATTTATTACCATGCTCCAATTGATTACCATGTAATTTATTATTTATTATGAATTTATTGCTATGGTTTGTTAACTTTGTGAAAAAAAGATTCAGAACCTTTTTCGTCAACTCTGCAAAATATCTGTCATCAACCAACCAAATAAAAAGAGACAAATTGAAGGAGGAATGATTAAATCAGATTAATTGAATTGTCCTCTTTGATCATACTTGGTGTAATCATATGCTGTACAGTAATCACAGTAGTCAGATATTGCCTGATTTTTTTTTTTTTTGTCTTGCTTCAGGTTTGCAGGACAATCCATGGTTTTGTGACTGTCGCATTTCAAAGCTAATTGAATTTTCTAAAATAGCGGATACCTCAGTTGTGCTTCTTGATCCACTGATTTATTGTAGTGGACCTGAGAGCTTGGCAGGGATCTTGTTCCAGCGAGCTGAGTTAGAGCAGTGTCTTAAGCCATCTGTGATGACATCGGCAACAAAAATCACTTCTCCTCTGGGAAGCAATGTTCTCTTACGCTGCGATGCAACCGGGTACCCAACGCCACAGCTTACTTGGACCAGATCAGACAATATACCAGTGAACTATACAGGTATAATAGCTTTTTGTTGGTTTGTTTTTTTTCTTAGGTGAGCCTAAAAGTATTGGCTTGTTTGTGCTTTTAGAATATTATCATAAAAACGGACCATATATTCCAGGACACTGTTTTCAAATTAGGTCAAGCTAATGAGTCTGTAACTGAATGTATGTTTTCTATGTTATTTGCAAATGATACAACATATTTGCAAAGGCCATCTTCAATACTAAAGAAACTGTGGCTGATACCTTTCTAGTTGTGATATGCTAYGATAAATATTTATGCAATAGCTTGCACAGAAATTTTCTTGCTAGTTAGCCTAGCAGTTAGCCTAAGTCTTAGGTCTGAAAAGAGTGATTATCCAAAGCACAGAAGTCTGTTGCAACAATAATATTATTTTCATAAATGTTTTAAACAGCTAGTGTGCTTAGTGTCATCTTAAGTCAGAGACTTTTATTTTCTACTTGCTTTTGTTAAYTTAGTGCCAATGCAAATTATCTTGTAGTTCCTGCAGAACTTCAGTTCTGTTTTTACTGAGTACTTTTTTACAATAATATTATACCATACCAGAGACTTCCATAATTGGAGGGTGTGTATGTGTGTGTGAAGATTTTGCTTTGTTTTGTTTGTTTGCTTTTACATGTTTGTTATATACAGTTCCTTTTGGCAGAAGTAATTTCAGGTGTGAGTAATAGTTTAACATTTTCTTTCTCTTCATCTGCCTTTTATAACATCTTATTTTTTGCAATTTCTGTAGTAATTCAAGAAACACCTGGAGAGGGCGTCAGATGGTCTATAATAAGCTTGACAGGGATTTCATACAAGGATGCAGGGGAATACAGATGTAAAGCCAAGAATTTAGCAGGAATGTCAGAAGCTGCTGTTACTCTCACAGTGGTTGGTGTGGTTACTACGACTATGTCACCACAGAAATACGAGAGAAAGCAGGAGGCAGAGAGACAGAACACTACACAAGAAGAATACAAGCAAGGAACTGAGAGAACAACCACTCCTCTTGCTCYATCAACCACTACAGCACTAGTTACCACTGAAAGATCAACAAGTGCCAAGCTTACTGACAAGAGGCAGTCCAGGCCCATAATGGATGGAAAGAAAAATTCAAAGACAGTGACAAATGGAAACAAAAAACAGGCTGCAGAGGTGAGCAAGAAAGGTGAGGAGACTTCACTGAACGCAACAACTATGACTGAGCAAAATGTCACTGTAAAGAACCTAAGAGTGATCAGTGAAACAGATGAAAGAGTGACCTTAACATGGAAAATTGTCAATGCTACAAGCAACTCAGCAGTAACTGTGTTATACTCAAAGTATGGTGAGAAAGACATGCTGCCTCTGAGTACCGACTCCAGCAAAAACAAAGTCACAATCGATGGTTTGCAGCCGAGCACTCAGTACATGGCATGTGTCTCTCCTAAAGGAGTGCCACCTACCAAAGAGCAATGCATTATTTTCTCCACTGATGGACTAAATGATGAAAGCAGCTCTCAGTTTTCTATTCTAATAGTGGCCAGTAGTGCAGCGTGTGTAGTTGTTTTACCTTTGGTATTTTTCTTGCTCTACAAAGTTGTAAAACAACTTCATGGAAAACCTAAAACTGCGAAGGAAGCTGACCTTGCAAAAGAGACCTATGTGAAATTTGAAACACTGTCTCTCAAGCCTCGAGTGGTGAATACAGCAGGAGAGCTGTGGGCACGAAGGTACACAAATGAATCTGAAAGACTGCTACTTTGTTCTAGGTCAAGCATGGATTCTCAAATGACCTTCAAAAGTGAGGGCTCTAGATCTGAGTATCTCTGTTGAGCATGGGTGAGGATCGAGGAGGTGGAATATACAAGGGGTAAAATTAATCCAAAATGCATCTGGAAGCAGGTTGGTACCAGTTAAAAAGTATTGCAGTCATATATATCATCTGATATATTGAAGTCTACTGAAGTCCTACTCCTGCTGGGTAGGAGATGGAGTAGAAGAAACATGTTAGCCACTTTTTCTAATGACTCTTACTTTGGATGCGAGGGAATGACATTCTTAATGGATAAATAGAGCATGAAATTATTTTGCCTGCATAATCTTCTATCTTCTATCTTCTATTTCTATTTTTGTTTTTTATTAAAACATWATGCTGTTGTATCATCTTGTTTCTATGTTTCTACTATATGCAAGTTTCATGTATCAAATATTAATCACGACTGTATATACTGAAATGATAGGAATAGAACTCAGACTACTTCTACTGAAGTCGAAACTTTTTTTGAAAATACAAACTTTCATCTGATGTGAGCTTGTGCTTCAAGATATCATTTAGCTCTGTACAGTATCTTGGACTAGAAGTGATCTCAGGCTGATCAAAACTGAAGTTAGATAACCACAGGTTATGGGAGGTACAGTCCACACCACGTTGTCATTTTGCAGATGCTGTGACAAAGGAGATTCTTTAGTGTTCTGAAGTTCAAGTAAGGCAACATTGTGAGTAACTCTGTAGTGCATAGTACATAATAATGTGAATTTACAGCAAATAATGTAATATCCTGGCCTTAGGATTTTCTTGGATTCTGTATATATCTCAAATTCAGAAGTATTTTTATAAATTTTTCCTGGCACTTAGTAGTACTGCATACTTCTGTATAACTGTGTATTGCATGTATTGCGTGATATTATAGACTGCACTGTGTTACTGGAATGCACACTGAGATATAGTAGGATGAGATCTTGGTCTTGGATCACACAGGCTGTGAGAGGAAGTTTACTCAGCAAAATGAATGTTGATTGTGAGCACAATTACTAGTGTTTAGAAAATCAGATATTAATGGTCACAGAATTGCCTGTTAATGATACTTCATTATCTCTTGTGAAGCTGCTTTTTCACTGCCTGAAGGAAATAACAGAACTTCATTGGGTTCAGATGTCATGGTTAGCAGTAGGTGTAAAGTAAGAACCACAGTGAGTATCACAACTATACTGCTTCTTTGGACCTTTATATACCTAGAAGAAGTCTTTTGATGGGAAACCGAGAACATTCAACTCAAATAACTCAAATCTCCATAGCATCTGCGTGATTAGTCATGGTAGAATGAGTATTGGAGGCAGTGGAGTTGTAGTAGGAAGCAGGTACGAAATCAACTTAGTGCCTGTGCTTTTAGAATTAAATGTAGTGTTACTACTGTATTACTGGTAAATATAATCAAAAGGGCTTTTTTTATATTGCTTTCTTGTGACTAATATTGACTGCAATGAAAACAAGTATATTAACTTTTGAAGTTTTCTTGTTTTTCTTCCAAAATACTGAATTTTGTAGGGAAAGAAGATTGTTTTTGCTTAAAAAAATAGTTAATCTGAGAGGTCTTCCATAGCAAATGAAGATTTAAGAAAAGACCTGTAGGGTTGCACTATTTGCCTTCGATTTTTCGTATGGATTTTGTAGCCAGTAGAGGCTGCTGAAGGTCTTCCTAATGAAAACCACCACATTTCCTAATGAAAATCATCACAGTAAGAGATTGTTCTAACATTTCATTTTAATTCCTAGGGAATGTGTGGCATTTGTTGTGAGAAAACTAGGTGTAATTCTAGAGTTTTCCTCTTCAGAAGTGTCCCCAAACTCTAAGATGATGCATCAGTGTCTCAGACTAGTGGTGTGAAACTCATTTGTAGAGTACTTGCTTTTTATACTACAATCATTAAGATGTATGATAAAATCGTTGAGAGAGATTTTTGTCACCTTTAGTCATTCTGAGTAACATCTTCTAAAATGTGATATTGAATCAGCTGTCATTATGAATAGTGGGTGCCTATAATCTGTGCTTGGCTGATAGAAAGCTTTGGAGAGAATTTTACCCCGAATGATGTGCTGCCTTTCATATACGTTTGCACTTTGTTATCTCAATTCATCCTGTGCTTTACTGAAAATGTTAGATCTATTTTTATACATAACTTGCGAAGGGTGTGTAAAATCTGGATAATTAATATAACTGCAAAGTAGTGTGAGCTGAATTCCAAACAGACCCTATGTATACTCAGAGTTTTAATGGGCCCCAGCATTTGTCATAATTAACCATAATCTTGTCCTCAGCGAGCACTTACTAAGCCAAACTCTAGATATCTGCTTTACTCCTCGCTTTTCCTCACAGGAAGTGTTGGTATTCCTTGCACTACTGTAAGATTCCCCCTACTTTTTCCCTGAGGAGCAGTGGGGAGGTTATGTTAAGAAACAAAACCCTTTAATATGTATGATGAAAATGTATGAAATAGCATGAAAAAAAATAGAATTGGACTACATTAAAGAAATTAAAGATATTTGAAAATCATTACCTTTTTTAAAGAATTCAACTAATAAAATGTTTAGAAATTGTTTTGATGTGAAAATAAAAGTGAACATGTGCTTATCTGACCCTTTCTTCTTCATTTAGCTATAGATTACATATATACAATGAACTTCAGTTTGGAGACAAGAGGAAATCTGAGGAGAAATGAGGAAAAAAATGACAAATGAAAGCTGAGATGTTGAGGGGCAATATCATAGTGAGTGCTGAGAGTACATGCAATGAAGTCCTCCTTGTGAATGTGTCACGTGCATGGGAAGGATCCTGTGGTATGTGTAGACAGTAGCCCTAAGGGGATGGGAGAAGATCCTGCCTGGATAGTGCAGCAAGTGGAGCTCTGCTTGTGTTCAACTTGGGCAGGGTATGAGTAGCCAAAAAATTGGAGCATGCAGTGGGTACTGAGGAAATATGAAGAATGTACCTGAAAGTGGTCTTAACTGGTCTTAAAGCTAGCACGTATCCCATTGAAAGTTTGTGGCAGCTCTGTGGGGGTACCAAAGGAAATGTCTTTTTTTTTTTTTTTTTTTTTTTTTTTTTTTTTTTTTTTTTTTTTCGGTTGTAGACTGGAAACGTGCTCTCCTGGATGNTTTTTTTTTTTTTTTTTTTTTTTTTTTAATTTTTAAAGATCTAATCGGTTGTAGACTGGAAACGTGCTCTCCTGGATGACTTCCCTAACAGAATTCATTACAGAGTTCAAGTCAGCTGCAAAAACTCCAGGCTAGCTTTCCTTCGAACAGATATGTTCTGTTTTCTTTTAAATCAATGATGCAATTTTCCTCTGAATCCCAGAAGGCAAGAAAGGAGGTATGATTAATCTGTCAGTCTTATAAACCCTGGTGATCCATAAATCTCAGTGTATCCCTTGCCAAACAGTGGCAAAAGTCAAACTGAAATGTGAATCTGAAACCATGTATCCCAAGGAAAGAATTATCTTTACAGTGCCGAGTACAACACATTTTTCATCTATGCTCATGCTGGGATTTTTTCTAATCATTGATGCAGAAAGCAACTGTGAAAGAAAGGTTATTACCATTTCCAAGACCTGCATAGTAATTATAAAAATAACATTTTCTCTGAGTTTTCTGAGTCTTGATTTTAGTTGTGAAATAACATCCTAACTTTGTGTTTAGAAAAGAATGTGAAATTGCTACAGTTATTACATCCAGTTCAGAAGCACCTGTCAGGTATGTCTTTGAAAAATATTTGATCTAATTTAGCATATATTATTTTGGGAAAATAGTTGAATGGCTTAAGAGTGATATAATTGGAGATGACATGGCAAATTGCTCACTTGAACCTCTCACAGTAGGAGGTTCCTCACAGGAACCACATATCAGGTTCCTCACAATATGCAAATTATCAAATTTTTGGAGAAGAAGCTCTGGCAAGAAAGTAAGAAGAAAGTACTTGATTGTAGAGAATGATGAGTAATAAAAGATTTGGAAAATCTTTTAAAGAGGAATTCAAAGGAATTGGGTGGAATGTTTCATGAAGGTGTCTAATAACTCAGTAAAATACTCCATGTTAGAAAAGGCTAAAATGGAAATGTATTTTTCTTCTATCTCTTACTATAGAAAGAAGGATCTTTTATATGTTTGTGGATGAAGGGCAGGAATATTACCATGAGTGGAGCTCTTTATGTGTCCAGTTTGGACAGAGTATGAGGAGCTAGTTTTAATTTTTTTTCCCCTAATACAGAGTTCAGGAACTTTCTTCTGAGGCCTATAGTACTGGGCATTACAAAATAAATATATCAAGTAAATTAATAAGTAAAATAATAGTTTTTAAATAAAGAGATTCCAAGTCATATTCTTGTTTGACTCCCTTAATAGTGTTTTGGAAAGCTGGAATGAAGCAGTACATAATTTTACCTTATAATAATTCCCAATCTCGAAGACAATTACACCTTTGTTGAGGGGAAAAAAATAAAAGTCCAATTCCAGTAAATATTTTTTATAATAATCTGATTTAATTAATGATCCTGAAGTCTAATGCCATGGGATGATTGCATTGAATTCTGAGTCATATGCCTTGAGTTTTTATGCTGGTGAATTTTTATATGGCTGATTTAACCAAATATTTGAGCCTCCAAAAATAACTCATACCAATTATATTTTTTGTTTCATAGCCCGGTCCTTTGTGTTTAAGATCATGTGGAAGTCTAAATCACAGAGGGAGAAAGAGGACAATATGAGAATATGGTAAGCAGCCAGCTACACAGCATGGCAAATTAAATTCAGAATAACTGCTTCCTGATGAAGTTCTTTTAAATTGTATCCTTACTTGACTTTTGATAGAGCCCTTTTCTATATTAGAGTAATTCTACAGAGCACTGCAAGCTTCAGTTTACACATAAATGACATTGTTTATGGGTGTTTTTCCAGAGCACCATCTAAGATTTTGAGAGGCTCTTCTGGTTTCTTGCTGAGTGGTTAACGAAAGTGATGTGGTGGAATCATTTGCTATCTGCTGAGGCAGGAATGCAAAAATAGATCATAACAGTCCTGTTTGTTGTGAAACTCAAA